ATAAATAAAATGTTTCAAAGTTGATAGTGTCATATTTATACCATAAAAATGTACCTTTTTCTCAATTATTGTACATATTTATTGTTTTGATCTCATATAGATAAAATGAAACATGCTATTGTTGTTGTTGTAGTTGGTTTTTTTTTTTTGAATTGTATGTTTATGTATAATAATAATCAATAAATTTGAGAGTTGATCTATGTTTATTAATTATTGTAACCAAACTAAGTGACAAACATTCATTTTGGAAAAAAGCTTATTTATCTGTAAAATATCTGTTCTGTTCTGTAACGATATCAAACATCTTCTCCAAAACAGGGAGAGACCGGACAATAAACGTGTGATACTATTCTCCGGTCACTAGTAAATCCCGGTCAAAATAGACCGGGAGAGACCGGGAATTACCGATAGCAGTACATCCCTCTATAAATAGATTTTCGGAATGTTTAGGTCATCAACTCATCATTCTATTTTAACATACCATAATAACCTACTGTGTACTACAAAATGATAAATAAAAAAAAACCGAAGAGACGGAAAAGGTTATTTCATGCATTTCGAAATTCTCCAGTTCGCTATTCATTGTACATATCGAGACATTTTTTTTTAATCAAGCACCCTCATACCGATCGGAATGATCGGCTTTTATTATGACCGACTATATGGCTCGAGAAGTTGCTGTCGCCCTTTTACAAAATCTGATTTCATTCCATAAGGGCGCCGCGCTTCGGAGCGGACGCCAATAAATGGAGTAACACACTATCACTATTGTCAACCCCGTTAAGCAAACAATCTGTCACGTGACCTCACAAGGTATTTTTGTTCAAATGTATTATTCGCTGTATGCTCACATGCTTGTAATCATTGCTTGAGCTAAATAAAGTTTATGTTGTTGTTGTTGTAAAAAAATAGTCTTACCACATTTCAGAACTTTTGCATACGATTTGTATTGAGCGATACATAGCGACTTGTATTTACTTGCAAAATAAATCTATAAAATATCTCGGCAATTGCTCCATGAAGTACTGTTATACTTCAAGCCCAGCCAATTCCACGTGAAATCCCCATATATTTCACCGAGTAATCGTAGAATAGTAGGCAGGGAACCAGACTAGAGAATAGTAGGCATGGAACCAGACTAGAGTTTGCAGTGCCCCATTTATCATTCTTGTATGTATGAAATAACGCAAGCTTGTTTATGAATGAGTTGTTTACTTAGGATGACGTCATTACGCTGCTTACGGATTGGGGCCGTTTTGTCAAAATATTAATTAACTGATATGGATCAAATATGTGGCGTTAGTGTATGTGAGATTGTATGAAAAGAAAACATATAACAACTGAAAATATAAATAAAATTTGCTTTTTATTGTTGCTTTAAAGGGCTTTGTAAACCATATAATCGAGGGTGAAAACATAACAGCCGCATATAGACCTTTTTACGACGCGGTCCGTTGCCATGAATGAAAAATCGACCGGAAGTAGTATTTCCCCGCACTTGCGCAAACTGCGAAGGGCAAAAAAAAGCGTAGTCTAACATAGACATATACAAGAAGTTCCTAGACAATACCGAGTAAGTTTAAGGTAAAAGGTAGAAAATTATATAAAATAGCTTTAAACAAAGATAGAAAAGATTCCTCTGTAGCTTTTTTTCCAAGATTGTCATAAAAAGGCATGGAAAAGGAAATTGTTTAAGAATTTCCCTGACGGTGAGCCCGCTTACGGTGGGCCCGCTTACGGTCACGGACCTGACATTGAGATTTTTATTAAGAAAATGTGGAATTACATCTTTTATTCAAATGGGAGTCAACTAAATTCTTGTTGAAATAGTTCATTAAAAAGATAAAAGAAATTTTATAACATATGAAATCGAGGTTAATTAGCATTCTGAAAATAGTCAGAACAGGCCCGGTGATAATGCATTTTTAGTATTCAGTTTACCTGATTTTATCCTTTATTTGACTGTGATGCAAAACAGATAATTTTTAAGTCACATAAATATATTTTAAAAGTTATTTTTTTTTAATCTTTTAGGAAAGTGAAATAACATTCATTTTATCCGGTTCCTCGTAACACATGTTAATATTTTTTTAATGCAAGTCACACTAATTGTCACTTCACAAATCAATAAACATTGGTGAGATCTGTATATATAAAAGTTACTTAAATAACGATTTTCATACTTGTACGTGATTAAATATGTCATGGTTCTAAAATGATATGCTGGAAACAAACAACCACGGTCGCGTGTCAATCTGTTTGACAAGTAAGCCCTAACCAGTATTTATTGGCAGTTTAATACCGTTTTTTTCTTTGTCTATAGTGACAAAATCACGAGGAGTGTCAGAATATTTCTTAAATAAAAATGCTTTTTATTGTTGCTTTAAAAGGCTTTGTAAACTATATAATGGAAGGAGAAAACATAACAGCCACATATACAAGTACTCTCTAACCAGTGTTTATTGACAGTTAAACACCGGTTTTTTTTCTTTGTCTATATCGTGACAAAATCATGGGGGGTGTTAGAATGGTTCTTCAATAACTTCGATTAATTTCTTATTACCGGAAGTCAACTCATATAGTGACGTCAACCATAACATATAAAAAGGCGCGTCACGCGAACGTGACGCTAATATTGCCGCAATAACTAAGTGCATGCATATGTACTAACCGTATAAATACCTAGAAAAAGTGACCCCCCTCGGAAGCATTTAAAACAACAAAACTACATGAAAAATTGCAGACTCGGTTTGATTGAGTCTGCATGACGCATACTGAAAAAGTACAGCATCCCTCACGCCCTTAGCACCGGCTTTAATGGTACTCAATTCTCAACACTTATAAGTGCTGGACTCAATGATACGGAAGGACCAGAAAAATGAAACAACACTGGAGTTCATTTTAGGTCCACTAGGCAATGCTTCATGCCAAAAATCTAAACTATAGGCATTGTGTTTTTTGGAAGAAAACTTAAGGTACGACCATTATAATGCATTACGGTAAAAGTGTTTGGTATTTTACAAGATCAACCATGCAGTATACGTTTGAGAAAATTTAGGGAAACTTTGAAAACAGCCCCTCAATTAAATAGATTTTAGACTAAGATTACGACTAAATAAAAGTGTTGAAGCCCAACACTAAGTACCGTATCCGGTATATACAAAACAAGGCGCTTAAATTATTAAGTGTGCTAAACTCATCAGAATGAACTTTTAAACGTCTATTTCATCCCTTCACACCGATTTATATCCAATAAATAAAGACCACTATAAGACAGGAACCGATATCTGTTGCGAATAAGTAATATAAGGTCAGTGCAAATGTGTTCAAATATACAATGCACTTTCCTACAGAAGACATGATAACAAAATTTGTTATTTCCTATATAAGTCTTTATAAACGAAGTGACCCAAGGGGCTTGCCAATATTGACCTCAAAGGCAGGTTATATAAAACTTTTGTTAAGGACAATAAGGTGATGATACAAGCCAAATTTTTAAGCTCCGATCATCGTAGTTTCTATGATGTAGTGTCTATGACGAAGTTCTTCCAGACATTTTTAGGTCCTCTAGGCATATTACATGCCAAAAATCTAACTATAGCGATATTTTTTCTACTTTGTGATCATGATTTCTGCAAGCGTGTAAGTACTGCTCCAACACTGTAGTGAGTGTAAACCAGAAAGAATACTTTGCGCTTTCAGGAGCCACAACTTCGATCAGCAAAACAGGGTTAGTCCCGTATAAGAAAGAAACCGAGATCTCTTGTGAAATATGTTCAAGTATACAATGTACCGGTACATTCCTACAAAAGACATGATAACAAAAATTGTTATCTCATATATAAGTCTTTTTAAACGAAGTGACCCAAGAGGCGGACCAAAATTGACCCCAGAGACAGGTATTATGAAACTTTTGATAAGGACTACAAGGTGATGATACAAGCCAAATTTTTAAGCTCCGATCATTGAAGTTTCTATTACGAAGTTTTTTTTAGACATTTTTAGGTTACATTAGGCAATGCTACATGCCTAAAATCTTAACAGTAGACATTATGGTTTTGGAGAAGAAAACTTAAATGTACTTTCCAATATAAGTCTTTATAACTTAGTTAAGTGACCCAAGGACGGGACTATTTTAAATTGCAGGGGCTTGATGCATCTAACTTTTTAAGATGACCGCAAGGTCATGCTTCGTGCAATATATCTAAGCTCTTTAAGAAATATTACTATATAAGTCTGTTTAATCTTAGTGACCACTAGGACCGGGTCATTTTTACCCAAGGGGCATAACTTATATATTGTAAGCAGAAGTCCCCTGGACAATGCAACAGCATAACCTATATATTAATATTGTTTGCAGAAGTCAACTGGATAATGCTACAAGCCAAATATTTAAACTCTAATGTACATGTAGTTTCTAAGCAGTTTTTTAACGGTTCATTTTTAAATTCAAAGTCTAAAGAAGTAAAAGAACTTCTTTTCATGTCATTTTTTATCTCGAATCAAACCCAAACTATGAAAGTTAACTGCATTGATAGATTTCATGTGAAATATCTCTCTAACCATGAACCTTTTGCATACAAAAACTTTGCCCTCTTTTGCTACTTTTCCTTTTTAATTTTTTGGCGGCCAAAAATCTTAAAGTATTTAAAAGGAGCTCCAAAGGCCTTAAGACATAAAATTTGAAATTCTTTCATAGATCTGGTGAAGCAGAACAAAAATGGAAAAGTCTGCAAAGGATAATAAAGAAATATACTCGGAACTAAATTGAATATCGATTTTGTACGAGTCAAACTTTTAACTTAATTGCTTTTCAAGAACACCCATCCATGCACCATTTTTAGTAGAACCTTAAATAAAAGCTAGTTAGATTATAAGTTTTCTCACATGACAACCTTGTCAGGATTCCAACCCAAACCCGTTATTAATGATTCGAAATCGACGAGAAATTATTCGAAGTCGGCCACCCTCACCACTGCCAAATAATCAACATAAAAACTTTTAATTGAATGTAAAAGGTGTAAAATGTACAGAAATATAAAAGACTCACACATCAACAACAGTGTACTTCTTTCATTATTTTAATTAAAAAACCATAGTTTACAATAGTGTTGCCTCAGTGAGTCGGCAATGATCATGCATATAAATAAAGACAGCCTCTCAATAGAGTCACAGTATATTCCAACAACATTACAATAATAATAACAGCACATTGAACAATAAATGAATGATTGTTGTAAATGATGTATCTATAAAAATAATACTGTACATTATGGTGGCTGATTTGGTACGCTTTTGTGCGTCTAGTTGGCGCTAGCGACAACACGGTGTTGTCGGACTTTCGTCTTGTCGTCCTGTCGCTAGCGCGGTACACCAAACGGCGCGTTGTCGTGCGGCGCGTTGTCGAGATGTCGCTCTGTCGCTTGGCTTATAAGCCAATCCTTCAAATTGAACCGAGCGACAATGTGACATCGCGACAACACGCCGCACGATAATACGCGTTTGGAGACAGGACGATAGAGCGACAAAGTAAAGTAAGTAAGTAAATGCATTTTATAATCTAAGTTCCATGCTTACGCACGTTCACCGACTTTACAGCTATTACCCCTGGTCATCGGGCTGCTGGTATCTATCTATCAATCTCCCTGGGGAGTCTTTTCACTCCGCTTAGAGCAGCCGACACTTTGGCGCAACGGAAGTATACCACCCTCGCAGGTACCCATTTACACCTGGGTGAAGTGAAGCAATCGCAGGTAAATTTCTTGCTCAAGGAAATTAGCAGTGCCCCTGGTGGGGTTCGAACCCGAGACCTTTCGATCTCTAAGCACGCGTCCTACCACTGGACTACTGCTCTTACAACGCAGCGTTTGGCGTTTTGGCGTGTTTTCGCTAGCGCCAACGCGACGCACAAAAGCGTTCCAAATCAGCCACCTTAGAACATAATTTGCCGATCCTACCATGATGCCGGTTACTGGTAAACCTTACAATGCACTGTAAAGTTTTCAAGCGCTTTCAGATAGTCCTTTTGTACTGTTCATTACTGGTGATTTCCCAAATGTAGAGAAATGTTAAATAATTTAACACATGTTTGTATGGTCACTTTCTCCCTACATACTTAACTTTTCAATACAGTCAGTATTGACTACATGGATTCAAAATCATCAGTGTATTTAACATTTTTAGCACAAACATAAAACTGTACATAAATAAGCCAATATTAAATTGATGTTTTGAACATCAATGAATATGGTTTACCACACACACACACACACACACACCAACACACACACACACACACGCACACGCACATACGCGAGCGCACATGCACGCACACACTCGCACATACACACACACACACTTTCTTGAGAAAAAAATTAAACCCGTCTGCCAAGTAGGACCTTCACAGCATATTTAAAGTTTAACAACAAGCAACCAACAATTGTTTGTTACAATTACTTTGGCATGTAAGAATTAGTATATTTGGTTTAGAGGGAATTGTTGTACAACTAAGCATATAGATTAATGTATTTAATCTCCTAAGAAAACTCCCTTAGTTTGTAGCGGTGGATATATACACAGCCAATAGTTCATGTTTCCGTAAACATCACGACCGAGGTAGGCGGTGGCTTTAAATTCAATTTGAACTGTATTATTCTATGGGTTTTATCATTTTAAGTTCGGTAACTTTATTATGAACAGTTTGAACCTATTAAAGCAACATTAAATAAATATACCATTCCCCAAAACTAAGATTTTATTGTTAAAAAAAGTTTATGTTGTCAAGAGTTAATTTGTAAACGGTCATGGTCAGACATATTGCAGAAATCAGTTATCATTATAAATTTGCTCCGCCCTTTTCTATTTATAGAAAATCTTAGCATTAAAAATCTTTTCTTTTTTTTTCTTTTTTCTGACGTATTATTTTAAAATAAACAGAAATTAAGAGTTGATGGAACCTTCTTATTAGCATTAACTTCAGATCAATCAGTAATGGATACAAATAAATATGACCAACACAAGTATGATCTAAAACCGCCTCCTGTTGTTCTAAAAGTCATTATTTATAAATACCTTTACAATACAAACCTACTTGTAATTCATCTTAATTGAGGGTCCAAAACAAGGACTTCTAAATCAAGGGCATGATACACCACAATCATATCACTTATAACCATACTATACAATCAAATGGGTAGACAACCATTCAACACGTCGACAGCCGTACTAGTATATACATGTCGGTATTAAAACATAATTGACGGACGGTAAGTATTTATCTATTTTTAAGATATCCCAACTGTGTTCGAGAAAATCAATGCTGTAGATTCATAGTCAACATCAAAATAGGCCTGCTCAACAAATTTCTGGCGCTGTGCAAGCTTTATTTGACGTGAATTTTGATTGAAAAATAACCACTTTCCGATGAGATGCGGCATATACTAGTACGGCTGTCGGCGCGTTTAACGGTTGTCTACCCATTTGATTGTACGGTGTGATATCAGTTACAGCTGTCTCACACCAAGTCCTTTTCGACAATGTTATTACTAATGAAATAACGCATGAAATTTGATGAAATAATGAGCGACGTAACACTTGACAATATAGCACTATTCATATCCAATGGCTTGTACTTTTGCGATGATTCTTTCCACTTGTCTTTTGGCTTTGCAATTTCGGAGGTTTGGTATATTATAGTACTGGGGAGCAATTTGTACCATCCTGTAATAAACATGTAGATACACAAATTGATAAAAGAGCTACAGTTATTATCAAAAACAAGGTCATTACCTGTATGAAAGGTATTTTCAATATCCAATTTGGTTTTCCTTTAAAGAGACATTATGCTCATTTTTTCATTGTTTAGTGTATATTTCAAAAGATTGACTATTATAAAGGTGATTGACTAACAGATGGTATATTGCAAAATGTTCAGAATAAAATATAAATCTGCCTAAAATATAATAAAGACTGCCCAACTCTTTTTATAAACTGTATGTAACAGGTAATTTCCAATGGACATTTATAGAAATTTCCTCAGGTCACGGGAGTTATTTATTATTTATCGATCATGTCAAGTAAATTATAAAATTAAAGAGAATTATGACAAAATGAAACTTATTTTGACTTACACCTCTCCCATGGATGGGAATAATGTCACTTTAAATGGTTTTAAAGTAGTACAGAAATTTATAGTGTGCTTTACTGCTGTTTACTGCTGAAGGTCCATCATAAATATTACTGGTGGAACCACTATCTTCCTTCACATTACAAGCTTTTTGTTCATACAAATTGATAAGATATGAAGGTTGATAATATAAGCTATGTTTAAGTTGATCATAGTTTATATGTGAAGTAGATACATCTAGATACTGAATTATTCAAGTTATACGCACACTGATTTTACATCTTCCTTAAAGGAGATTATGAATAGGTTACCAACTAAATTTAGAGACCTATCACAAATGAATTACTTTTAAAATAGATGAAGTTGAACTTACCATTCTGGTTTAACATCTGTCACTGTTCTGATATAGTTCTCTGCGGTCAACACAAACTCATTGTAAAGAACCCACTCTGGTGTGTGGTCGAGACATGTCGATGGATGAAACTGAACAATCTGGTTGTCCTTTATTGTCATATAGTGTCCAGTCCTCTCCAAATGTGCAACCTGGAGAATACGTTTGAGACATTTAATTTTCACAGAATATAAAGAAGTACAAAATACCTCCACATTGTGATTAAGGCACTCGCTATCAATAAAAAAATTCTTTAGTTTGTCAAAATATACAGAAATATATTTTACATCATTAGTTACAATAATCTGGAAACAAAGTGATCCATCGGAAGCATTAATCATAACAAAATTACATGAAAATTGCAGACAAAGTCGACTTTGGTAATAAAAGTATGCAGTTCCTCATATTTTGCATTATACATTCAAAAATTCACCTTGAACATGAATATACACATGTACATACATATCTATACATAAGTTGAACTGTGAAGTATGATTACCATTAAGTTTACTTTACAGCATTGTACATCATGTTGTTTAAATTACAACCCTTCAAGGCCTTGAAAACTAATTTTTACACAACATTACAAAAGCACTGTTTTTCAAGAAATTATAAACATTCAACAGTTATATAATTCATCAAATTAATCATAAAGAAACAGTAAACAATATTTTTAACGTATCATGTTTTCATTATCAACTATTAGAATTATAACTTTACTTAACTTTACTTTAGAGAAGCCTTTCATATTCAATTTTCTTGAATCTTTAAACTTTTAACAATTTGCATTATATCTAAAACCTATTATTTTTTCTAATTTTATTGACCTTTTTCACATAAACAGCTTGGCAGTTCACTCATAAGAGCCGTAATTCACAACAAGACGGGTTAAATGTCTGGTTTTGTTAACGCAAATAAAATCATTTAATATGGAGGGGGGAAATAACATCCGAATTTGCACCATTACAATTGCTCTTCATATATAAATGACAAGTTAATACAGCTGTATGAGCAACAACAAATCAAAATAAACATTTTGAGAAATATTACATTCATTAAAGATTGCTTTAAGCTTCTTTTGTAGCTCAAGAAAATATTGACTAAATGAAGGTGTAGAGAAGCTATCCGAGTTGATACAAGAAAGAAATCATATCTTTTTTTTTTCTTTAAGGAACCCCACTGACGTCCAAAAACCTTAAGACTTAAAGACACTTAAAACAGTAAGATATGCAAAAGATAAATAAGAAATATACTAAGTAATAAATTTAAAATTGTATTTTGTGCTATTCCTAGGCCGATTTGAGTGAAATATGATGTAACGCTATTCAAGTTTGGGCCATTTTTCACAATTCGAATGGTTGTTCTTGAAGAACACAGTCAGCAAATGATCTGAATTTTTCAAGTTATTGGTCTAGACCTATATAGAATTAATCTTGAAAAATTATTTCCTGTCTCATCATGTCAAAATACATCAGTGGAGTCCCTATATGACATATTTAAATTAAATCAAACATGTTAAGAACTTCAATTAAACATGATCTCAGAGTAATATCAAAAGAAAATAGATTATACATAAAGCAGATTTAAATACAGATAAGAGACTAAGGAGATATGTGATGTAACTTATTTCATTATTTTGTAAAAGCGATATGTCGAGTTTTCTATATATAATTTGTATTAACTGTATAATTAACTATGAATCAAAATAATGACATAATGGTCTATAATGTAGTTAATACTGCCTTAGCTTCTTTGATAACTCAAGAATATATTAACTTCGTAAGAAATAGTACACAGCATTGAGGGCCTCAGCATTATCATGACCTACTAAAGCCTGCCACTGCTGACTGGAAAGTACAATGAGGAAATAAAAGATATTGCATATAAAACATTAATGGTAAAATGTACTGAAAACTTTTGGAAAAGTACTTTTTGTAAACTCTTCCTTGTGGCTATAAAGTAATAAACTTCAGCGCTCTGTTTAAACATTAATAGTGCTGTCTCAGGCAATGGCTTTATTTTTTGTATGACAAATGACGTCATTATTAATATCATATTATTTAAAGGCCTGTTCAAAAGATGATGAAGGAACACATCGATGTAAGCTGTAATATATTCAAATAAGATATCTTAAAGTAAGAAAAGTAACATAAAGGACGGAATTAAACAGATTTAAATACTAAGGATTTGTGATTTATTCCATTTCATAGCTTTTCAAAAGTGTTGGTGAACCCCTTTATTTGACTCGTAAAGACTGTCTAAACAACTATGAATTATCAAAATCACGTTTTGATTTACAATGTAATTCTTTAATGTTTAGGTAACTCCAGAAAATATCGATTTAATGAAGGCGTAGCGCTGTCGATAATGCTAAACGTAAACAAATTGACAGATTTATAAAAAAAATGTTGATTTTAAATAAGTTAAGATATACTTTTAAGTAGCATTCTAAAAAATGTTATCTCATGTAAAATTTAATACTGGAAATAAAAAAGCATGAATTTCTACTTTGCAACTTTGAAACAGTGAATCAAATGAAATTCATTACAGTTAAATGAAACTCAATACAGCCGTGTGAAATTCATTACAGTTTTGAATTTATTTAAAAAATCGTATGCAACTCATTCGGGATATATGAAACTCATTCCAGCGATATGAAACTCATTACAGTTATACGAAACTCATTACAGTCCTATGAAAGATCATTGCAGAAACATGAAACTCATACATGTAACAGCAGTATGAATTTCATAACAGTTATAAACTCATTAAAAAATCGTATGCAACTCATTCTGGTTAAATGAAACTCATTACAGTTGTATGAAACTCATCACAAAGTTAAATGAAATTCATTACAAAGTTGTATGAACAACTGTGAATAAAAAAACATGTTGACCGATAACATGTATATTGTTATTCAAATTTGATTTTTGCTTCTTCGGTTACTCAATACAATCAAGACTTAATGGAGGCGTAGAGAAGCAATTATAAACTTGAGCCTCTATGTCATGTCTTAAACATATTACATAAATCTACCCTGAATTATTTTTGTACCAAAAATTTTATTATCTTTGTACCTAAGCAAGTGAAAGATGGATTTAATGAATATCCCCGACAACCAATAACATTACTTAAGCCGACAGTGGAAAACAGTATTTACACTTTTGATCAACTGACTTTATAATTAAATTCTTTAGTAGATATTCACCTGCATGAAATAACCGGACACAAGAGCTTTACGTATATTCAGGTAGTAATCGCGACTGGTGAACTCTGTACTGCTTCTCTTCAATTTGAGCCTGTCCATGATCCTAACCAATTGTTGACGTACATTGTCCGCACTTTTCAATGACCGGAAGTTTATAAAGTTGGCATAACACCACTGCGGATCTTCTTGGTCTGTAAATAGATATACAAAATTGCAGTGATAACATGTGATTGTTAAATAGTGGATGAGTCCTAGGTATGGGAGGAGTTAAGCTTTAGGTCACAATGTCGTTATATTTTTCATAAATTTTCTCCTTTTCAACTTTACTAGCGCAAAAAGAAGTTGGGTACATCTTCATACACACCAAAAAATTCAACATGGTTCTTTTTGAAACAGTGAGTCACATGAAATTCACTGCACAAATGAATACAATATTTCAGGCACAGCCAGAACCAAAATAGAACCACAAAACTTGAAACAGCTACCCAAATGTATTTTCAAATTCAAGAATAATGTCAAGTAAATTATGACATACAGCACAAAGAACCGACTAAATTGCGTGCAATTATCATCTCCATACATGTTTAACATCTTTCTAAAATAGTTCTGGCATGTGCTGTATGACTTAAGTTTGGCATATAAAAAGTAATGTAAATTATGTCATTATGCTGTTCTAAACGTTGAGGCTATCAACTGGTATTCTCATGACCCTATGTTTATTCCATCACAAATAAGTAGAACAGGGAAATATTGAAAATTATAATATTAAGTACTTACTCTGTTTGAAGGCGTGGTAAACATTAAGCAGTGTCAGATGATCACCATCAATGTGGGCAAATCTCATCTTGCATTCATCAGCTGTCTTCCGTAGCTCCTTAGGACGCACAAAGCACTGTGGAACTAAGAAGTGATGGGTCGGGGCCCAATTGGACCCTTTCCCCTCTCCATTAGATCTCAAATGTAAATGATAACTAAAAGGATCTTAACTATCAGACAGTAAACTTGGTGGTGACCTAACTTATCCTAAATCACTTGTAAAAATCATCGATTAACTTTACATCTAAAATGTTTCTCGAAAATAACTTAAAACCTACCAGCCACTGTCTTAACTATCTTTTGCAATTTTTTAACTAAAATAATTCAATATCAACTTTAAATTTCACTCAAGAAGCAACACTAAACGATCTTTAGTATCAGTCTTATCAGAATAAACCATGACCAGTATATTTATCAACGTGTCGTGGTCTACGACATTTTATTGTCGGTGTCGTACGTCTGCGACAACGTTGTACGACCTATTTATGTAAACAAAGTAGTATTTGTTTTTCGAAATACTGAATCACTACCGCTGAACTAAATTGCCAAAAACTAGCAAAAGCAAAATATGGTTCAGGTTATGACTGATCAGTCACTTTTGGAAATTAAAACAGAACACAAAAAATTCAAAAGCTTTTTAAAAAAAAAATAGAAAAAAGCATAGCTTGGGCTAAATCGGCCTTTATGAAAGGATTTCTGCGCGTTCGGAAAAAATATAGTTGCATTTTTCAGAAACGCCAAATTGTATGTTGATAGTACTTAATATTAACGGCTGCCTGTCATTTTTGCATGTTTTATAATTATATAAGTTATTTAAACGACACCAGACTTTTCAAATATATCGTGTGGCGATACCACTAAAACTTGAGAATAAGGAACACACACATTTTTGCCAAATTCAGTTTTTTGCAATACATTTTCTGTTATTCAGCCGAATAAGGTGCAGAGTACCTGTAATTGCACAGTTACCCCTGGTATATCAAAACTTATTAAGAAACCCCTGCATTATGGTTTTCGAGAACATGTAGTACACACACGAAGAGAAAAACAAGAGACTATCTAAATCCTCTGTTGTTTCTCTTTTTTTTAATTGATACTCAACAGGCTGTTTTATTATTCTGTTCCAATATGTAATTTACACGAAATATCTCACTTTAATATGTTGTGGGATTTGTTGTTGTTGTTGTTTTGATTTTTTTGTTGTTAATTGTTAATTAATTGTTTATAGGGAAATGCCTGGTTTTATTAATCTGTCAATTGCATACTGATTTTACGGTCGATGCACACAATATATAATAATGTTTATGGTGGCTAACTTGGGCCATTCGTCAAGCGAAAAGTCGAGAATTTATAATAATAAGTTATAATGGTGGGGCGCGAAGCGAAGCGTGTTTTCGTCCCGCGACCCTGCCAAGCACAAAGTCGAAAATAAGATGTTAAATGGCGGGGCGCAGAGCTAAAACAAGGCGCAGGGTGAAGTTTTACCACCGTTTTATTTCTTAAATCTCTTTCCTCGACCCGTCGGGGCGAAGTTTTATTTATTAAACTTATGAAACAAATCAGCCACCATAAATCTTCGATAAATGTTTCTTAAATTTCGTGAGATGTACGCAGTAAGATGTAATTAAAACTTTATTTCAACATTTTTGAAGTTATTATTGTTTTCTTTATGTTGTTCTTGTTGTTTTTAGTATGTTTTACACTTATTTTGGTAAAGACTTTACTCATTTTAAATAACATGTTTTAAGAATTCATATCTAAAATTCATGCGGATTAAAATCAATAAATGACATCTCAGTGCCGTAAAATACAAAAATACATAAATCAACGTTTTTAAGTAGTTTCAATTTTGCAAGCACTCAAATAAATATCTAAATTGATATAAAATCCAGTAAAAATGAATTTTCTAAATGCGAGAAAAAGATTTTAGTTCTAAATGAAATTTGCTTGTACAGGCTATTTAATGCTATTTTCAAAAAAAAAAAACGTTGACACTCATTACTAATACAAACAGAATATGACCTTAAGAGCTTATTTCTGGAAATGTACGATATTCTAGACATTTTCATGGTGTATAAAATTTGCAGGTTTTCTTTCTAACTTAGAGCGCATGTCTAGGTCCCTAAATAGGATTTGGCATTCAAATGAAAACAAGTAAAATGGTTTCCTGCGGTGAACATTTTAATGATATAAAGATATTCCATTTAACTATCTTCAACATTATTGGGGGGGGGGGGATAAATAAACTTTTGTATCAGGAATATAGTTGACAATATTCGATCAATATAGAAGAAGGTCTTTGGAAACAGGTGACCGTTCAAGACCGGTGAAGGTCGAACATAGAACAATTATTTCTTTTTACGAAAATGATTAAATAGGCAAAAACTAAATAAAGTAAACACACAAGTTTACGCAGAAAATATTTCTATTTATTATGGCAGATGCCACTACGAATATATTAATTTTGTAGATTTTCAGTTTATACAATTTATTGTTTGTAAAATTTGAGATAGATATTAAAGAAACATTGATAATTTTCAAACACATCATTCAAGTTTTTCCAACGGTAAAATAATTATAAAAAAATTAGAAATATCACGTAATAGTTTTTTGTTATCAATTAGGTATAATTCGGACTTATTCCCTACAGGTAAATCCGTAACGTACCGGCAAACGGTATTTAGCTGAGTTTTCGAAAAGGTCAATTAACCAATCATATACGGTTTACAGATCACATGCTCCTCCATGTACCGGAAACAGGTCACGTGCTCCTCCATGCCTCAAAAGTTAAACGCGTACCAATACCCTGCGGTCTCCAGACCGCAGGGAACAAATAAAACAATAGAAATATTGTGCATTACTCTGACTTTTTTCATTAATCTTATTTCCAAAATAAATATGTACTGGGCAGGTAAACATGTACATATAAACAGCAATAAACGTTTAACGTCACAGAAACGTCGCTACATTTTCTCTGACGTCGTAGGCTACGACAAACTTTCATAAAACGGTCCTCAACGTTCTGCGACAAAAAATAACTAACGCCGTATCGTAGAACGTTGATAAAACGGTACAAGAATATCACTGTGATAAAAATACTAGCTGGACACTCATAAAATGAGATTATACCTGATAACATGGCCGCTATAGAGAGGATCTCGTTCGAGCAGTTAAAGTCTGTACTAGTTATAACCATCTTAGCCTGCTGTGGATCTAGTGGGAACTCAGTCATCATAGACCCCAATTCCGTCAAGTCACCATCGTCATCGAGAGCCGCCAAATAGTTTACATCCTCAAGAGCTCTCATTAAGGTTTCCGGAACTGTAAAGATAAACACTCATGCACAGCTAAGGTAATTGTGTGATATTACAGTTAAATAGTAAAACCTCATATTTTTGTCCATAAATTATTTAAGGCCCAGATTTCCATCTGGACAATATCATGAAAAACATTTTGTTCTTCTCAATTCTTTCATATATATGTACAAGCATAATACTTTATAATATATAATAAAACTGCATAAATCTCTATGTTGGATTTCTATGGTTTAATGGAACCAACACAGTTTAAATCATATTGCGTCGAGACAGGAAAGATGAGTTTGACTAATATCAGGTGTTGCAGACTTAAGGCAACACCAGGTATTAAAACCACATAAATCTCAATGTATCTATCAAATAACAAGAATTTGTAACAGAGTTACCAACGTCCCCCGCCTCGGGGAAGTTTTATATGAAGCATAAAATTGTTCAACATTTAATCGTATTTCAAAAGATTGAAGTATGGATTTTAGGACTTTCAGTCCAAAATTATGATCAATGTTAGATCTGTCAATGCAACAATAAATTTATGAAAGAAATACTAGTAAAATGAAACACAGAATTTAAAATTCTATCATGTTAACCTTTGACCTCTAAGTGTGACCTTGACCTTGGAGGAAGGGGTGCAGGTGTTGTGCATGACATATCGTCTTATTAATATTACTTTTTGTGCCAAGTATTTTCAAAATTCCTTAAACTATGTAGAAGTTATAGATGGGACACAAAATAAACCATATAACAGACTCAGTGTTAACCTTTGACCTCTAAGTGTGACCTAGACCTTGCCGGTAGGAGTGCAAGTGTTGTACCTGACATATTGTCTTATTATATTGTGACTATTTGTGCCTAGTTATTTAAGAATCCTGAAGAACTTCTAGATCAGACACAAAATATACTCTAAAACGGACTATGTTAACTTTTGACCTCTACGTGTGACCTTGAACTTGAAGGAAGGGATGCAGGTGTTGCGCATGACACATTGTCTTATTATAGTGACTATTTGTGGCAAGTATTTACAAAATACTTTGATCTTTGAAAAAGTTATGGACTGGACACAAAATATACCCTGTAAAAGACTATGTTAACCTTTGACCTCCAAGTGTGACCTTGACCTTGGAGGTAGATGACTGGTTGTTGCGCATGACACATCGTCTCATTATTGTGAACAATTGTGGCTAGTATTTACAAAATCCCTTCAAAGATAAAAAAGTTATGGACCGGACACAACATATACCAACAAATAGACAATGTTGACTTTGAATGAGCAAGTGCGACCTTGACCCTGGAGGTAGGGGTCTGGTTGTTGCGCATGACACATCGTCTTATTATAACAAACATTTGTGCCAAGTTATTTCAGATTCCTTTGATAAATGAAAAAGTTATGGACCGGACACAAAATATACCCTGTAATAGACTATGTTAATCTTTGACCTCCAAGTGTGACCTTGACCTTGGAGGTAGGTGACCGGTTGTTGCGCATGACACATCGTCTCATTATTGTGAACAATTGTGGCAAGTATTTACAAAATCCCTTCAAAGATAAGAAAGTTATGGACCGGACACGACATATACCATCAAATAGACAATGTTGACCTTGAATGAGCAAGTGCGACCTTGACCCTAAAGGTAGGAGTCTGATTGTTGCGCATGACACATCGTCTTATTATAACAAACATTTGTGCCAAGTTATTTCAGATTCCTTTGATAAATGAAAAAGTTATGGACCGGACACAAAATATACCCTGTAATAGACTATGTTAATCTTTGACCTCCAAGTGTGACCTTGACCTTGGAGGTAGGTGACCGGTTGTTGCGCATGACACATCGTCTCATTATTGTGAACAATTGTGGCAAGTATTTACAAAATCCCTTCAAAGATAAGAAAGTTATGGACCGGACACGACATATACCATCAAATAGACAATGTTGACCTTGAATGAGCAAGTGCGACCTTGACCTTGGAGGTAGGAGTCTGATTGTTGCGCATGACACATCGTCTTATAATAACAAACATTTGTGCCAAGTTATTTCAAATTCCTTTGATACATGACAAAGTTATGGACCGGACACGAAAGTGTGACGGACGGACAGACGGATGGACAGACGGACGGACAGACGGACGGACAGACGGATGGACAGACGAACGGAGCCTATTTCTATATTCCCCTTTTTTCTTCGAAAAGGCGGGGGACAACAAGAAGTATTGTAAACCTGGAGGATCCATGAAATCAAAATGCACGAGATCGTCAAATCCTAATTTCTTCAACTGTAATACAGCAGAACTGAGATTTGATCTCAATATTTCTGGATATGTGTTTTCAATCATCTTTTGCTTGAACACTTTTTCTGTATAAAGTCTAAAACATCTTCCTGGTCTTGTTCTCCCGGCACGACCTGCCCTCTGTTGCGCACTTGCCTTACTAATGGCAGTCACCAATAATGACTCAACATGAGTTCTAGGGTTGTACACCTAAAAATAAATATGGATTTATTGTGAATAAAATTTCTTGAATCTTATATGACACAATATTCGACAATTAAATCATGGCCTTGAGGGCAATATGCAAGTTTACGGACTGGTTGGTCAGACTGAGGAAGGTATATGACCCGAAACGCATCTGAGGTATAATATAACAAAAAATTGCCTCTGATGATAAAATGTTTAAGCTGTTCATCATGCTTCAGACCTATGGGCACAATTTCGCATAAAATTTTTAAAGTTTGGCTTTCGAAAGTAAAGAAATGTCAGTAAATATGTCCATAGCAATGCAACGCTAAAATAACATCACTTCTACTAAAGTCAATTTGTAATTTTGGCAATCTGAAATTCTATTCAATGAAACAAATCATACTGGTAACAAAGTTTGCCTTCAAGAGTCTAAAATGACTGAATATGTTGTTATCTTACATTCAACCTTTATATTTAAATATTAACCCTGGTATCAAAAAGCAAAGGCTTAAAATTCAATATATTGATTGCATAAAAGCTAACATTTATTTCATTACGACAATACATCAAATATTCACTTACCTAACCTACTAAACTTTTTCAACGTTTTTTGTATAAAAGCTTACTATCAAATAAAAATATTGCCTTACTATTTTTTAAGCTGTGAGATTTACCAGCACAGGCGTAGACACTACAAAATCCTGCCTGATATATTTGTAATAACGCTATTCTAGTCTAAGTTGCAGTAACAATCAATGTCAGAAATATGTCCATAGCAATACAAACTTTAAATCACATCACTTCTACTAAAGTATATCTTTAATATTGGCAATCTTAAATTCCTAATGTGATAAAAATGTCACACTGGCAACCAAGGATAGCTTTCAAACATTCAACATAACTGGATCACATCACTTGAGCTGATGTGGAAAAAAATGAAAATGTTCACTTAAATCAATATTTCAAGGACAAAACTGTTAATATTGTATACATGCACCATAGCAAAACCTTACCTTTTCTTTTGCAAAACCCGAATCAATCACAAACACTACTCCATCAATGGTCAACGAGGTCTCAGCAATGTTTGTGGAGACAACAACTTTTCTACCAATGGCTCCATTTGCCTTGTTTGGAGGCGGAGGTTCAAATATTCTTTGCTGGAGATGTTGCGGTAACGTGGAGTACAAGGGGACACACTTGATTTTTCCTACATCTGGTCCCAAAGTGTCTACTTCACGCTGTATTCTCTTACAAGCTTCATCAATCTCCTGCAGAAAATAAAATGTTCGTCCTTACTTTCATAAAACTATATAGGATTATTGTAATATTTCATAAATAAACTTTGGCGGTAAGGTGGAGCACAAGGGGAAACATTTCATGTATCCTACATCTGGTCCCAAATTGTCTACTTCACGCTGTATTTTCTTACAAGCTTCATCAATCTCCTGCAGAAAATCAAATGTTAGTCTTTATTCTTTTAACACAACTTTCAAAAACTATAGATGATTATTGTGATATTTCACATATAAACTTCAAGATTGCTTAAGGAATAAGTTTTATTTACAAAAAATGAGCCTTTTTGAATGACGTACTCACTCTTCAGTATTTCTTTAACAATACCTTATCACTTGTTGATGAATTTCTTGAAAGGTTGTTACAAGGTTTGAAAATAAATTTATCAAAAAAACCATGTTTTCCTGAAATTTAACATATTAATTAATGCAAAACAAAAAGGAAAAAGAAGACCATAATTCTGCTTAAATCATCAAATCACTTCCAATTACAAATGTATATAATTATAGGGCATTTGATGACAGCGCACTTAATGAACATTATATTCAGTTTGTGAAAGTTTGGTTGAAAGTCTTTTTGAAAAAACAAGTTTCACAAATAAAAATTGTTTACACCCAGCGGTCCACCAGAATTTTTAAGCTTACCTCTTGTCCTGTAAGAAAGAGAATAATATCTCCCTCAATTTCTTCACACATATGTATCTGTATCACTGTTCTAATGGCGGCCTCTAGATAATCTCTCTCAGGCTCTGGCGTGTAATAAATCTCCACAGGATAGGTTCTTCCAGGAACACTCATCAACGGTGCATTGTCAAAATAAATCTGGAAGTTAAACATTTAAAAATAAAATTAATCAATATAAATGACTTTGTCAGTCTCTGTAATATAATATTGTTTGAATCTTAAATTAATTTGATGTCAATTCTGTGTGTACCAGCTTTTGTTGCACTAACCAATTTTACCAAATCAATATTAAATAAATCGTTAAATAGCTCAAATGCATAATTCAGTTCAATAGCGAAATAATCTTATGTTCTTCATTTGTTTTAATATGATATCATGCTCTGGCTACTATTTTTTTTTAAACTGGCATCAGATTTTTACTTTTTTATCTGAGGCAACATATGTGCCAATGAAAAGAACCGATTTGGTCAAAGCTCAAGGGGAACATTTTAACATACAAGCTGAAAAATCAACCATTTTAATAGCATTGCAACCATTGATATGGATGGCCAATCTGCTAATAATGAGAATCATGTGGCATAGAAAAGAAATAATAATGAGAATCATGTGGCATAGAAAAGGAATAATAATGAAAGTCATGAGGCATAGAAAAGCTGTTAAATGTTAAAATGAAGCACACCATCCTGTTCAATACATTCCTTGTCAAAGATCATTTAGACACTACATTTCATTTTTGAATGGAGGTAAAATAACTATGCCTACATTGAAAAGCATTACCTGAAATTTACCAGCATTCAATGTAGCACTCATAATAATAATTTTGAGATCGTGTCTCTGTTTTGCCACTTCCTTCAATAGGCCCATCAGAATATCTGTAGCCATTGAACGTTCATGAGCCTCATCAATTATCACAACACCATAGTTCTCAAGAAATGGATCGGACATAGCTTCCCTAAGCAACATACCGTCAGTCATGTATCTGTGCAACACAAAGTTTTATACATCTATTCACATCTTATAACAAAATAATTTATAAACTATTTCTATGAAACAGCTGCAGTAGTTGCTTTTTTTAAGATATCCTTTAAAATGTAAAAGAAAATTACTGAATTTCAAAAATTATTTTCAAATTAAACATATATATACTTGAGAATGGTTTTAGATGATGTGCAATCTTCAAATCTGATGCTGTAACCAACTTCCTGTCCGAGGCCAACGTCCATTTCCTCAGATACACGCTGTGCAACAGACATTGCAGCCACCCTGCGGGGTTGTGTGCATGCTACGCCCTTCTTGTTACATCGTAATCGTAGCCAATCTAGACACCATTGTGGAATCTAAAAAGAAAATTTTCAAAACTTTAAACAATCTATTCAGTTCCGAATGTCCCTTCAAAGAAACAAATTACTGTTTAAAAAACTTGTTGAAAGTTTCATAATTATTTCAATTGAACAAATGGAAAGGTATTTCAAGGCATAACCAACACCATTATGCCCTTGATATTTCGTGAATATTTACCTGTGTCGTTTTACCAGACCCTGTCTCTGCAAGAAGAACTAGTGTCTGATGTTTATTAAACATCTGTACAAACTTTTCTTTGTACCCCCACACCGGCAATGCCTTCCTTTTAGAAAGGAGCTGTGATAACTCTGAAATACAAAATCATTCTCGATTAAAATGATTTATTATGGAATGTGTTGCTCCATGCATTTTAAGTGTTAAATAAGTATTTGAAGAATACTGTTTTGCCTCATCTAATGAAACTTGTTAAAAAGATGCGTGTAGTATCCAGTAGGTCTATTGCAAGTTAGTTCCAGTATTTGATATTTGGAATAGTTGGATTTAAGACGTTGTGTTTCTAAAACATTTAAGACTACAAAATTTTATGAAAACTTTGCAAATTATGAAAGGGGATATTAACTTAAGATAGAATTGTGAAGAGAAAAATTTTAAGATTTTAAGAGAGTGAAATAGTAACAGTATTAGCATGGCGCAGGAAGGTATCCTGCAAATACTGGATTTGGAAAAAATAGAGGGGCAGTAAGTTCTCCCTGACTATGACTGGAAGCGATAAGTCTTTTTCTATGTCAAAGTCCACTTCCATAGCTAGTGGCGATGATGCCAAGGAGCCCGCACTAGTGGTAGGCCATAAATCCCTACATATACAGTGAATAATTCTGACACTGCAAACATAGAATTGTCAACAATCATGACTTTTCAAAGGCAACAGACTGAAATGCTGAAAAACTTGGTTTCTGTTTGCATCAATAAACAGGCAAACTGCCAGATTTCTGGGAATATGGCGGATGATGCCAGTGAAAATGAAAAGCATCGTGAAATTTTCCCAGAAAGTTACCGGTATTCTGCTGAGCGGTCAGAAAGTGACCCGAGTCAAGGTCAAAAGGATGAAGAAAACAACGATCGAGTGCTACATTTTGGGACAATGTGCAGCCTCGCTTTCACTATCAGAGGTAAAAGGGTTATCTATGTCTGGTGAAATGTCGAACTTTGTCCAAAAACTAATGGCAACAAGCCTAGACGAGTGCAAAAAAGCCGGGTTAATTGAGAAACACCAAACACCGGAGAATACAACATCTCTTAATACCCCAAAAGTCAATCCTGAAATATGGAGGGTGTTATCAGCAGAAACAAGATCAAAATTCCAAAAAATACAATAAATTTTTTTGAGAGCATCTGTTTCCGTGCTGAGGGTTATCCAACCCTTAGTAAAATTCCACAAAACGTAGAGCAGATGAATATAGAGGCAGTTGTAACTCTATTAGCGGAATCTGGCATTTACCTTTTCAGCACGTAATGAAATGAACTCCAGAAGAAACGACCAAATGCGAAAATAATTTAATCAGGATTATGCATCCCTTTGTTCTCAGTATAATCCTGTCACTGAATATTTGTTTGGCGACAACATCGCAGACCAGCTGAAAAATATTTCAGAAAAAAAAACAAGTTGGGCAGAAAATGAATTAAAACAGGCACAGTACGGGCCAGAGATATCAACCAATTGATGTAAAGCGACGTAGACCTTTTTACACATCATGCCTTCCACTTGGGTTTCGAATAATCAAAGCAATGGGAGGGCAGGCAAGTCAGCAACTTCAGCAACTCAAGCACACAACAACGGGCCGAGCCGTTCATTTGTCAAAAATCGCCATTATAAGAAAGTGAGGTAAATGGACACTGTGTCACTTTCAAGGCTGGTCGACTACCAGAATTTCTAGAAAAGTGGAAAACTATTACATCAGATAAACAAATTTTAGAAATAGTACAAGGTTGCAACATTCAATTTCACGAGTAACCTATTCAAAGCTCATATCGGCCTACAGTTTTAAATGAATCGGAAGCCAAAAATTCTTGATATTGAAATCCAAAAGTTTCTCTTTACTGGTGTGATCGTGAAAGCCGTACATGAACCAGGGAAATATATTTCTTCTGTATTTCTGCGACCAAAAAGGGGTGGTTCTTATAGAATGAATAAAAATTTAAGCAATTAAATCAGTCTGTTGAATATGTACATTTTAAAATGGAATGTTTGCAATCAGCCACCAGAATGATACTCCCGGTTGCTACATGGCTTCCCGTGCTCTGCCTTGTGCCCTGTCCTGTTTTTGTTTGGGGTCCTCCTGAGCTCCTTGCCACTGACTCTTGTTACTTGGTCTGGTGGGGGCTGCGTTCATTGAACGCCGCCTTTCCTTGTTTCTTGTTTATCATATTCTATTGACTTAAAAGACGCTTATTATACTGTTAACGTTGACAAACATTTTCGAAAACATTAAAGATTCATGTGTAAAGGCCAATTATTTAAATACACATGTCTACCAAATGGGTTAGCATGTGCTCCAAGACTGTTTACTAAATTAATGAAACCCGTTTTGGTTAGCTACGTGCACAAGGTTTACTGTTGATTATTACATTGATGACTCATATTTACGAGGTACCAGTGATCGAGAATGTTTACACAATGTTCAGTGTACAAGAGATCTTATTTTACAATTAGGATTTAGTATCAATGAAAATAAATCAGTGTTCCAACCAACGCAAATGTTTATATTTTTAGGTTTTATATTTAACTCTATCACTGTGCGTATATATTTGACTGAATGAAACAAACAAAGCTGAAAAAGAAAAAACAGGCCTAGTGGTTAAGGCGTCCGCCTTCGGATCGGTAGGTCGACGGTTCGAGCCCCACGGGGAGCGTTAATTGAAGGATGAATGTTTCTCGAAGGACTTCCGAAATGGCAACTTCGTGAGCCGCGAGGTAGTTAAAATGAATGGTTACCGATTTCTATCCGCCTGGCATAGTGGTAGGAGTTGGGAGGTACATAGTATGCATGCAAAATGTGTCTCATAAGTCAGAAATGGCTGGCCCTTTCAGTAGGGGTGACACTATAATAAAACAAGACCTTTACCTTTTACAGGAAGCACTTACCACGCAAAATCACAGAACTTATAGGAACTCTTGTCTCTTGTTGTGTCGCTTTTCGGTTTGGATTTGTTTATACAAAATTATTAGAACAAACAATCGGCTGCTTTAAAAGGTACAAAAGGCAATTTTGATCAGAAAATGTGCTTAACACCAAAAGCGATTGAAGATTGACATTGGTGGTTAACCTCTGCTGGAATCAATAACGGGTCAGTTATTTATAGGCCTCCCCCGCAACAGACTCTTCATTAATCTGCTGGGGAGTTGTTCGTAAGCAGACTTAATAAAAATGCAAATACATGTAAAAAAATAAGATTGCATTTGTGAAAAATGTTTTGCCACCTCATTAATACAGCACTTAATAGTAGTGTAGAAACAGGTTTCTTTTTCCTATGAAATGAACTTTTCCATAATGCAGTTGAGTCTAGTAAATGTGGTGGTCAAGGTCAAATTTCAGCTTGTCAAATGATAGACAATGTCCAGATGTGTTTAATGTTGAGATACAAAGGCTATAATGCAATAAAAAGAATTATTACATGTTTTGCAGTAGATTACTGAATTATAACGGTTAATTATATTCTGATAATTTCACAGTAATGATTACCAAATATAATTTCACAGTAGCCGAACTATATTAGGCGTAAAAATAAAATATTTATCATTAATGAATGTTTTTTAGCGGAAATGTAGTCAATCATAATAAAAAATGTACGTGATAACTGTAGTTCGTAAATATTTACGAACGTTGTGCTGAAAAACATCTAAAATCTAAAAATAATCATGGAATTATATTTTGCTTCAACATTGTGACGTCATTATTTGATGACGTCGTGAAGATAAGAGCATGACGTTACGCGGCAAAAATCAGTAAAATGGTGTAAAAATCGTTAAAAAATCATGAAATAAACAGAAAATTTGTTCGTTTTACATGTAAGATCAAATAATATTTCACTCGTGAACCCCAGCTATTATATTTTCACTCGTGGCTACGCCACTCGTGGAAAATATTGCATCTGGTGTTCACTCGGTGAAATATTTTTCGATCTTACACTGAAACAAACAAATATCCTCTATGTATTCGTACTTGACACAAATTTAGGTATTTACGGTATTACATAACTGTATAAAACTTTGAAAAACAGTTGTTGTTTTTTCTAAATATAACTAAGCATAACCTGCAAACATTAAAAAACATAAACGATTTCAAATTATCATTATATACATGGTGTGAGTCATAATGCTAAATTTATTTCATAGCTAACATATCTCTTGCTAGAGGTCATGATCTCCTATCATTTCATAAAAATCTCTGAAAATCTTGCAAGATGTCATGACTTTTACACTAACTCCCAGCTTTTGAATTTTTTGTAGAAAAATTGCTTTGTTGTTGGGCTGTTTACTTTCATTATTCTACCACATGTATGATTTGAAGAAAAACAATAATCTCCTGGGGCAAGGCCAATTTTTACCCAAAGCTATAATTTTAACAAGGGAACCATTGGTCTAAAAGTGCTCATTTGGGGACAGACCTTTAGATGTATGAAAGCAGTGAAAGCTAGTGTTTTTACATGAATTTAATCGATGTTGGTCACTAGACTTAATCAAGAACATATGGACGTGTTTTTTTGATAATTGTGTATTTAGCCATTACATTTTTTCGGGATTTTTCTTCCTTTTAATATGTTCCCATTCATAATGATCAGGCATTTGTCTGAGTCTTCCTCTAGTATCCTTTCAAACAGATCTATGTAAAGTCGAGCCTGTAAAATCTGATTCTTTATCACTTTATTAAGACTATCCTCATTCTTGCAATGTCTGAGAGATATAAAGAAAAGCAGTTCGAACGGTTTCATCTCTATAGCTATTTCTGTAGGGTCACTAGCCTCCAATATATCAGGCCGAGTTTGCTCTGTGTTCGTTCGTTGTACCTTACACCATTCACTTATAATTTTTTTACATAATGCCGATTTTCAAATTCCTGCTTCGCCAGTTATGTATATATTTTGATTGCGTTCATTCTCTGAGCAAAATATATCTTTGAACGATGTAATTTATGTCAGTCAGACTCATTACTCTTCTTTGGTTTGACTTTTCTTATTATAGGTGTCACGGTTCAGAACTGTTCACTATAAAGGGGAGAAAATTTGTAAGCGGCCGGATAGCTCAGTCGGTAGAGCCGCGGTACGGTATTCCGATGGTTCCGGGTTCGAGTCCCGGTCAGACTGCACATTTTTCTCACCCTGTGACATTTGGCGCCCAACGGGGGACCGTGACTGAATACAGCTCAGAGTTTAATACACATTGCTCTGTAACTCTGTGAAATTCGAGGACGAATTTCAATATAGCAGGGGAGTATGTCACGGTTCAGAACTGTTCACTATAAAGGGGAGAAAATGTGTAAGTGGCCGGATAGCTCAGTCGGTAGAGTCGCGGTACGGTATTCCGAGGGTCCCGGGTTTGAGTCCCGGTCAGGCTGCACATTTTTCTCAGCCTGTGACATAGGTTTTACAAATGTTTTATCCACCATTAATTCTTTTCTTGCATTAATGGATGTACAGGTATCCCTCTGTAGTGTTTGTTATACATGTAAATAAGGCCTCTTTGAAAAGCTTAAACGTAAAACATGTCAAAATGTCATGATTTATGATATTGCATCTAAATAGGACATCTGTTTTCACATTTGACAAAAATTAAACAAAACAAAAACACCTCATTTTTATTTATTTAAACAAGAATGTGATAATCATTGTATATGAAGTTACTTTCCAGCAAATTGTTTTATTAAAGATTTTTTACCAAAAGAAGACAAACATTTTGTATAATGTAAACGGTAAAATATATTGTTTTATTTTATGTATTACATAACTAACCTTCTTTTTTGCCTTTATACTTCAAGTTGTTCTCATGCTCCGGTCTTGTTTCAGAATAAAGTTCATTTGATTTCATTCTAGCAAATTCCTAGAAAGACATGGAGACTAAAATAATATAGGTATAAGTAGTACATTCCTCATTGTTATTTAGTTGAGAACATATATTAAACGAATTTTATGTCTTAAGTAATCATTTAATAAAAGAACATATCATAAAGTTTTGATCAAATACAGATCAGATGTTAATTATTGCTGTGTTCATATACCTGATTAAGTTCCTCCATCTGTACATGAAGCTGATGAGTACTATCACCGAATTCTGCTTGTTTCTGTTGAACCTTCTCTATTGTTTGTTCGGTACTCTCTAGCCTTGTATCTAATTCAATAAATTCTTCTGTTTTAATTTTATGTTGAAGTCCATACGTCTGAATTTCATCAATTACTTCTCTGTGTTTTTCTCTGATTGATTCTAAGGCAAATTGTTCTAATTCCTTTAAAGCATCCATTGCAGATTTTATGCTTTCTTCATCGGACGCAGTAATAACAAAGTTTTGTTTTCTCAGCTGTAAAAAATAGTTTCTACTTTCATTTTAATGAAAAAAATGCAAGTTGGACTCAACAAACCATTTATTCAGATTTCTTAAAATGATAATTTCTTTCTTTTAATAATATGCATCATTTAATTATATTCATCATATGTGGATAAATCATGCGTGTATCTTTTAAAAAATCATTAGTTTGATAAATTCTGTAAAGTCGTACAATGGGTGATTTGCATTCATAAAAGCACTCGAAAATTCAACTAGAAACAGAAAGCCAAACACCAAGGCATTGAGGCTGATAATATGATTAGTATGCTGGTTATTTTAAGACATACATATATAGCTGTGCCATAAATTAAAAATTCCTATTTACTTCGGATTCAGATTCCGACAAAAGGTAACTGTTTATTCAAATGTCTCAGGTGGTCAATGTTGCAAAACAATAAAACATTCTATTTAACCATATTTCAAGATTGTTTGGAACACGAAGGGAAAATATTAATAAAAATAGTACATTTATCGGAGGAATGATAAAAGCGATTACTTGCTTTTTAACATAATGCAATTTCAATGGCTTTCTGCATATACACCGTTCCCTGAACTTCAAATAATATTAATGCTAACTATTTCTAAAACGAAAAATGATATACATTGTATCAATTTAGAATATAAAAAAGAAAGACTAAAACATTCAATCATTTACCTGTCTGATGTTTTCCCTAGCATCAATTGCAGATTGAGTATTCTTAAGTTGCTTTTCGTCTTCAAGTATAGCTACCATGTTATCGAGAATTGCTCCTAACTCAGCATCTTCAAGCTCTAATCTTGAAGAATGGAAAATGTTGTCACGTGCTGCTCTTGTCTACAGAAACCAGCACATAATTCCAGTTAATATAAAGTACAATATCAAAATATTTAAGGACACATTTTTTGAACTAGACAAAAAGGGAAAAAATCCAATAAAAATTAAATACCCGGTATTGTGAAATGTACAACAATAATTTCGAGTCTCTAGAATTCTTAGAGTTGTTTTATTGTTCGTACAAGTCAAGATTTAGTATATGGATTATCCTTAAATGTGGTAACTAAAACATTTTATAAATTTTCATTAAAATTAGCATAAATCTGGAGGCATGCATGCTCCATTAACGTGGAACATTTGCTAATTTACTTTTTAAAATTAACTTCCTCTAATGTGATTTTTATTTTCTGCATAACTTCTCCTTTTAAAAGCATGTTTACGTACCTGACGTAACTCCTCGTCTAAATTTAGTTAAAGAGTAGGAGGCAGCTTCTTGCTAGCCTTATAATCGCATTATATAAAATATGAAGCCGAAATTTACGATAACACTATATGATTTATATATGACATATAAATTAAGATAGTATCGATAATGTTTTTTATCATTGTACATTCGAATAACATAAAAATGCAAACGCTAAATTAAACAAATGCCACACAGTTATGAAACCAGGAAAATGAAAACTTTACTCTAATGATAGAAACAGATAAAAATATGTAAATATATGGTAAAAATACCTTTGAGAATATGTCGTTCGGAGCATCAATCACAGTGTCAAATAGGGTATGCATTATTGTGTTGTTGATGATAATGTTTAAGAGCCCTGCGCAGTCTGTGTCATGAGCTGCAACATTCGAATAGTATCCTCCAGCTGGGATAAATACCTTCGCAATTTGCCAGTAATTATCAAACCATTGTGAAACGTCTGTATTTTTCCAATTAGGGGATGAATATCGGTGTTGGATAATAAGTTTGTCATAGATTGCGCTACAAAGTATACTAGGACAAAGTGTTTTTCCCCGCGATGATTGACAATTGCAAGACGGCTTTTGTTGTAAAGGGCATTTGTTGCCTGGATCTGGTGTGTGGATTGGAAGTAGAGTTTCTAGTCGGCACTGTCCACATCTTGAACGTGCGACATAGGTTCTGTCAATGTCAGAAAGAATGTCATTATGTTGCCTCTTAATTGCATCATCAACAAGGGGAGCTAACCCATTTCCTAAATACTTTAAGCCTAGGGCGGCTTTTACCCAGTTTCTGTACTTGGTATTCTTCAATTGTTGATCATGAGACATTGTCACAACTTCAGTCTGTAACGTTTTCTGAAACTAAATTTAATACAATAATGTTTTTAGATTTTTTTTAAAACACTTTATACAACATCTCTTTGTGATGGATACTCAACTTCATTTAACATGTGTTTAATCTAAGCAATTTGTAAAATGTTAAGTTTTGATCGGAAGTGTGTGGTTATATTCATCTCTATTCAATGAGAAGAAATCTGATTTTCATTTTTATTTAGAATTCATCGTGAATGCCGTCTTTCTTTACCCTATACATTGTTTTTAACAAAACTTCCAGAATCTATATTCGCTTACGATTTTATATAAAGAATACTGTCAACTATATAGGAAACAAAATAATGCCAGTGTTTAACTATTGAGAACGTGTTCTTTTTTAAATCTAGTCTGTTGAATAATAAACCCTATACTTATCTATATAACCCTATATATATATATATATAAATTTGGAGAAAATAAACGTTCATACGAAAGTTCTTGGGTATTTATACTTTAGCACTGTATGAACGTTAATTTTCTCCAAATTTATTGTTTTTTTCCACGTTCTTGTATCCTTCTTGGGATCCAGTGTTTTTGAAAGGTATTTTGTAGATGCAAATATTTTTCACAACCATATATATATATATATATATATAAATATATATATATTATATATATATATATATATATATATATATATAGATAAAATTATAATGTTAAAATAACAAACTCTCTATGTAAATTCGGTAGCGCTTTCAATGCTTTCTTCGCATATCTTCAGCCGAAACTTTAATAAACATATAAACAAATGACGTAACGTCATGAAAAAAGGCGGGAACGTTAAATGATAACGTATTTCCCGGCAAACACAATATGGTTATTTATACTGAAAAATTATAATATTACGGACATTGAGCATAATCCGTACAATCTGGCATTGAATTAATGACATTTATTAAAGGGAGGTAATAAAATTCACAAGCGACTGTGTTTCAGTTCAATTTTTGATACTATACAGTACACACGTATTGAGATTTTGTGCTCGATTGTGTGCGCACATTATACATGTAATACACCCCTGATGATAGCATAATACGCCGAAAGTACTTGGGTATTTATACTTTAGCACTGTATGAACGTTTATTTTCTCCAATTTATTTTTTTTTCCACGTTCTTGTATCCTTCTTGGGATCCATTGTTTTTGAAAGGTATTTTGTAGATGCAAATATTTTTCACAAACCTATATATATATATATATATATGTATATATGTATATATATATATATATATATATATATATATATATATTGTGATGATACTTTTGACCCAAGGACCAAAAATTAAATAAATATGGTAACCTTTTTTCTTTCCAGTCGTAATACGGAAGAGTATACTGACCCTCCTTATATATTTTTTATGCCTTCAAGAAAAAAAACCTTTGTATAATACATATCTTTAAAAAATTGACAAGTTATATGATATCTAAAATAGATCTTGCGGAGTTGTATCTGTTATTATACACCATAAATCACAAATATGTATTGTTTCTTCGATGATATTTGGAAATTTAAGAGAACAGAATGTTCTTCTTAACATACAGTAGTTGTACACTTTAGCCTTAATCATATGAATCTCTTGAAAAAATATGTATGAATTTATAAATTAAATAAGATTATCTTGGTATTATAAGTTGCATCTATTGTTATAATATTAAATGGCCCTTTTCTCGTTTTGATATAAGAAAACCATGTATAATCATTGAAAAAGATGTAAGAACTATTTAAAGTATAAGTTACGCAAGGTTTCAATACCATTTATATATTATAATATATATCAGATAAATTATAATATTTTATATAATACTCGTGTACCGCAAGCGTGTTATCATAACGATCAACTTATTTTAGGAAACATATAAAACATCATCTAAGCTAAAAACTCAGGTAAAGAATATATATATTACATATGATTATATCATCTCTATATCTGTCACACAAATAATGCCTCGAAAACATACTGTTTTCAAATAAATAAAAGCGTTTACTCCAAGAAAAAGTCTGCTTCTTGAGGTAGAATTTCAATGAAAAGAAGAAAAAACATATTTCTTATAAATAAAAGTAAGGTCTTAAGAAATACTTAAGTTTATAATACGTATCCCTAACAGTATAGTAGCCGAAAAACAGGAAAGATCAATATGAACTATATATATAACTTTTAAAAAAACATTACGAACTATGTTGTTATCATGTATCGTCATATTTTAAACAGGCATATAAAATATATAAGGGGGTCAGTATACTCTTCATTCCAGTGATAGTCCAATGAAAATTTGTACCAAACTGATACCCGATTTTACATTTGTTATATCCATTCATTATTCTGTTACATATTCTTTACCTTGAAATTGAGGATGTTACATACCGTTTACTGAAATAATATATACGTATATAAGATCCCTTCCGACATAATTTTTAAACATCCATGAATTTATTACATTTATACATCAAAATATATACATTGTAAATAAAAGTTTAAATACGTAATAATGCTTATCTTTTTATTGAAAATTTGAAATGACTATATCAAAAATATATTTCTTATATATTTATTTATATATAATATAATCAATTCGGACACAAAAAGCGTTAAAAGTAGTTTTCCTCACAGGTGATATTTGCACAAAAAGCAATAGAAACATCTACTGAAACAGATATTTAAAAAAATTCTTAATAAAAATGTCTGATAGATAATGTCAATATTATTAAGAACGAATAGTCGTTCCGACTTTTTGGTTTGTAAAAACATTTAATTAGCCAACATATTGGTTATATACAATGTTATCTTTACCAATAATCAAAATGTACATGTTTTATTGTTTTTTTTTTATCTTAGGTTGTAAAGCATCAAAGGGCGTCCAAGCAAGAAATGCAGCAGGTGAAGATGAACTAGTAGATATATGATGAAAAGATATTCTTATAAACTATTCAATGGTTAATTGGTTTTTACCAGAATTGTATATCACTTATGAATGAACGGACGAAAGACATTGTTCATAATAAACTTTGATTGGCATGCTAGAGTGTTATTTCTTTATGATCGTAATTATTAATAGCAACGGATATACATGTATAACGCATGATCAACACCACACTTGTGTAATATTCCTTATTATGTTATCGCTATTAGCAAAGACCCCCTCTTAGGGTATCTGTTCACACTTAGTAAAATATGACACTAGTAATATTACCATGTTGATCATGTTGAGCATAATTGTTTATTATACAATAATTGTAATATCTATTTTAATAAAAAAAAAATTACAGATTTTATGAATGTTGTTTTCTTTTCTCTTTTGTGTTTTATGTGCTATTTTAATACTGAGTTTTTACGTTTACTACTATTTTAAGAATTCACATTGACCGACGATTATAAGTCAAAACTTAACTGGAAAAAGTCAGTAAATTATGGTTAATCTTTCAATTAATAATATTGTTTATTCTTAAACCATATACATGTACATTTGTATTTTTCTTTATCATTTTTTAAATTATCAATCAATTGAATAATTCATAAAATCTAGTTTGTAACTTTGAATAATTCCTCGGCATCTTTACTAAACACGAATAACAAATTAAATAAAATGTTTCAAAGTTGATAGTGTCATATTAATACCATAAAAATGTACCTTTTTCTCAATTATTGTGCAAACTCATAGATAAAATAAAACATGCTATTGTTGTTGTGCTTTTTTTCGAATTGTATGTTTATGTATAATAATAATCAATAAATTTGAGAGTTGATCTGTGTTTATTAATTATTGTAACCAAACTAAGTGACGAACCTTCATTTTGAAAAAAAGCTTATTTATCTGTAAAATATTTGTTCGGCCTTCGGTTCTGTAACGATATCAAACATCTAAGAGACCGGACAATAAACGTGAGGTACTATTCGCCGGTCACTAGTAAGGGGGCAGGGGACCTAAAAATGAAAAATTTTGTATTTCAGTGTGACCAGAAACACAATTCCAAATATTTCAAAATCTGTTTCACAGGCAGATAACCAGTTGCACAGCATTATTCAATGACATATGACATACATTGAAGAAAATAATAGTTTGCATGCATTGCTCCTTCAAAAAATGACTGACAGCAATTTATAGCGAGCTCGACGAGCTGGCCCGAAGGGCCTGCTCGCAAAGCGAGCTTTACGGTAACGCAAGTACCTGCTAAGTGATGGTTTTGAAAACTTTCGTCCAAAGTACCAAATTGGACACATCGCAACCTTTCGAATTTAAAGATAACGGTAAAAACTGAGGAATTCTGACTGAAAACGGATGTGTAGACTGGTCACCCGCGCACGTATATGGGAACCATAATTGGACAGGGAACCAGAATAACGGAAGCTGTGTATAAAAAATGAAAATCGAAGGCGCCATTTTGTTTGAAATCTGATAAATAAAAACAATTTTTTGTCGAATTTTGTTGTGAAAACTATCTAGAATGAAAGAAAATGGTCTAACTAAGAAAATAAATCCGAACACCAATATCTTTTATTCAGTCATTAACGCTGTACAGACGTTTAAAGTATTGTTAACGTGACGTCACAATGTAGCGCCAAACAGCACGTGCAAAACAAACAAATCAAGTACGGTATTTTAATGTCGCAAACGTTTTAAGTTTTACATTTATTTCACTTAAAATAATCTTTATTTCGCGTGAAAAATTATAGAGTGAAATAAAATAAACAAAGTTTTATCAACGTTTTCAAAACTCGTTATTCATTTCACGACAGGGACGGGGCCATATTTAACACAGTACGTGTGACGTCACACGCACTCGTCACTGCATTTGAGATTATTTCATACTATTTCACGTTAAAAGTACATCGAGCTCGCTTTGAGGCTTTGCCTTTTTCATATTATTTACCCCCACCCAGCCAAAATCACACCTAAAATATACCAATATGGGCAATCTTCATGAAGGTGCAGCATACTCCAGAATCCGCCCGATTCCTTTAAAAATATCAGTAACACGCAGTGCAAGCTATGGCATTTTCAGAAATGACAAATAAAGTGTCTGTCATACGTTTAGATTTTTCACAAAATTTATCTGAAATTTCTTACTTGTTTGGCGCCAACTGTCAAAGCTTGATTTTTAACTTTTTCACCTCCATTCGGAGAGTCAGAAATACATACAAAGCTACCAAAATGCTTAGTTTCGGGTAAAAACCCAAAAATATATATCATTTCCTACACACAAACAAGAAAGAATTACAATGACAGAGAAATATCAAAAGTTATCAGTACCTTCAAAACACCATGTCTGAGTTATTAAAAAATTTGACCGGGGCCATCATGCGAATATGTCCCCTGCCCCCTAATAGACCAGGAGAGACAGGAGTACATCCCTCTATAAATAGATTTTCGGAATATTTAGGTCATCAACTCATCATTCTATTTACAGCTTTCGAATAGATGTACGACAATAACATACCATAATAACCCACTGTGTACTACAAAATGATAAATAAAAATACCCCGAAGAGCTTGATTTATTGACGAAAAAGGTTATTTCATTTGAAAATGTTTGCATTGCGAAAATCTCCAGTTCGCTATTCATTGTACATATCTTAAATTAATAATCAAGCCCCCCTCATACCGATCGGAATGATCGGCTTTTATTATGACCGACTAAAAGGCTCGAGAAGTTGCTGTCGCCCTTTCACAAAAACTGATTTCATTCGGGCGCCGCGCTTCGGCGCGGACGCCAATAACAACTTAAACTATTCTTAATGTGGTGAATAGAATGCTTCTTTTAATGTGTACGGTATCCTAACCTTTACAGGTTATAGCTCGTCATTGAAAAGTTATATCTTTATAGTCTGTCCCATTAAAAATGGAAATGAACTTTTGCCTGGTATGAATTAACAAAACAACGTAGAATAAAAAATAAAACTTTTTTGTAAACTAAAAAAAATTCACCATCGAAATTTCTCAGGATTTTTCTCAAAAGTGTCTACTTTTCTTGCAAAAGCAAAGTTTATTTTCTCTACGGCAAGTCTTTGTTGTTTATTTCATAGTAAATATAACAGTATTGAGTTACATAATGCATTTTCAAATAATCATTAACTTTAAATATAAACATTTAACATTCGATAAAGTACGGATTTTCTGTACATTTACTATTATTTTTGTAAATACATGACAATTAAAAATTTCCAAAAATAATCAGATAAGCTAGATTTACTTACAGCAAGAAAACCTTCTAAAGATATACACAAGAGTTTAAAGTTAGAATTACACACTAAAGAGTTTAAAGTTGAATATATACATTAAGCTGGATGTTTAAAAACAGGAAATAAAGTTTATAAGCTATTCATAAAATAGTTTTACCAGCCATCTTAAATCCCGGGAGACTTGATGACAAGTTTTGTTTAGTTCAACAAAAGGCGCGAAATTTGAAAAGGTAAATGTATTTATTGGGTACAGTAATGAAGAGTAAAAGGAAAAGCAGGTTTATATTCTTATGATAAAGAAAAGTTAAAATTTCATATTCATCTTTTTCTTATTCTTTATTTACTTTGTTTGTTATGAAAACATGTTTAGAAGTTCTTAAACTTCAAAAGCATTGATTTTAATGTGTATGATGGGAATTATAAGAGCCATGCTTGTCCATTGTCTCTCTGATTCTGATCCAAGTGGATAAAAGAATACTCCATAAGGGAGGTTCGAGCAAAATACCTGCATAACAAACACCTAGTCAAACTAGGCTAAGATATATGCCAAATACCTTACATATTGCATATATATACATTATCGTAAGATAGAGGAATGGTGTATGATGTTTTGTGCCTGATTTGCAAAAAGGTATGAATACTGTTAAAACACAGCCTCGTCATAACCATCTCATTGGCTGTTTCAAAAACTAGTTCTCTTTTGAAAGTATTGATAAAATGTTATTGTTTGTTTTTATTTCTGTCTCAGGCACGAGCGGGCACCTGAGTAAACCCACCGGCATTTTGTAACCTAACTTGAATGCTTCCAATGAAAGAATCCAAAGTCCTAGACGGAATTCGTGCCCACATCTGTAAGGTGCAAGTGGTAAGAAGGCAATGACCTCAACCTCTTGGTAACAGAGGTCCCAAGCTTTTGTTAATCAGGCACAAAACATCATTTGTCTTCTACATACCTTATATGAATCAAAATAACAACAGTTATAAACAGAGTGATAAATGGTTGGCGAGAAAAGTGTGTTATTTCGACATGTAACAAAAATGTTCGCATTTGTGTAATTTCGTAGTGTGTCCGTTTGAATAAAGCAATAATTTTCTTTTAGTTAAAGACGAGAAATCATCTAGTAAGCATTTAACAACAAACATGTTCCTTACACTCTCCACTTCGAAATGTGTATGTAAATGTTCTCGAAAATCTACAAAACATTTAACAGCATGTTATGTATAGCAATATAAGTCTGACGACGCGATGGACACAGTGAGCTGTCGCACCCTATGGAGGTCCCTTTCTTATAGAGTATCAAAGTGGAGTTCTGTTCAGTGAATTGCATACAATAAATTGTGGTGCACTATATGGCGAAAAGCATGCACATCGTCGAATAGAGCTCTCGTGATGAAAATAATGTGCGATGACAATGGAACTTCTTATTGGAAATACAAACATAATCAAGATAAAACTGGACTGTCTCCGAATGGTCAGATGATTCTCTGTATGATTTCAACTATTGGTTTTACTTAAAGCTTAGTTAAACAAAGCATGTTCTATATTTCAATATAAGAAAGAAATTGACTTATTCATCAAAAAGTAAGAGTTATTTGCTTCTTCATGTCCATGATTTTGATAAGTTTCAAAGAATATATGTTATAGTTTTCATAGAGTTAAATCAGGACTGACAACAGACGGATAGACAAAAATGCATTTTCTCACAAAGCTAGTTTAACTCTAAAATAATATTTATATAGACAGACATTGGAACAATCTAACAGAAAGACAGTCGGATAGACAAACGGAGAGACAGTCTATGTAGTTAAACAGAAAAGCATACGATAAACGGACGGACAGACAATAATTTGCAAGACGAATTGAAAATCTTATTACTGTTGTATAGAAATCTTATATTATGTCGTATTGTGCTTGTTAATACAAAGACTCACACGTTTTAACTTGCAGCAGTTACTCCGAATACAATTCCTGTCAAATGTTAGAGCATAATTCAGTTAAAAGCGTCGAATAGTGGTCCTCTATACGGCAACATCTACGAATAGTGCATCCCTTGGTGCTCTAATAGGAAGGATTCATATGCACTTATATTGAAATACCGAAATCCTTTTCTATAAAATTCGTCAAAAGGTCACCTTTCTATCGGCTCACAAGGGTATAAGGTTTTTGTCCATACACCTTTACACCTGTATTACCCACTTAGACAGTTCCGTCATCAATGCTGAAAGCATAAATCTTAAATTATGTGGCACAAATTTTAATTGAAAAACTTAAATATAATTATGGTAAAAATATTTTGTTTCAAATATGTTATAATTGGTATCACAAAGCTGATCAATATGATTGATACCAATCGCCCTTTCCGTCAGTCTTCGGGTAACGATTCCGTATTGTTTCTGAGTTTATAATGGATAATAGTCGAGGATGTTCCGACTGATTATATATGGGTTTTTTTTTATATACTTTGGCATTGTTGACACTTTGAACTTTAGACTTTGACAAATTTCGGACTATAGCAAAGGACGTTTCGCACCAAATTTTGAAATATCTAGGACCATGCCTTTCTTTAATTTAGATTATGATTCTGCATACCTTATTATGTTATTACTAAATCATAATTTCTATATATATAATACTGATTTCGATGAATATTTAGTATAATGAATATTTATGGTGTAAGTAAAATATTTAATACTTTAATACTGATTAGATGTCTTGATTTTGGGGCACTTTGGACTTTTGATCTTGCAATGTTTTACATGTTTTATGTGCTATGTTTTAAACTTCACTTTATCCGGCGTAGGGAAGTGACTCATCAAAGTCGGACTCCCAACATTTATTTTCAAAACAAAGGGCTTTCATGCACTTACAACAAATTTCATTCCGGCCCAACTCTCAGAAAAAAAACTATCTATTTCACACAACGTTTCGACGGGTTTGCTATTTATTTCATAAATCTATTTTTTATCCTCTTATTTTTCTAGCACTATGTTATGTGCAAATCAATACAGGAAAACAATAATTTTAATTAATGATTTAATTTGATTGATTGCCATGACCTTAATTGTTTTCGTGCCGAGCCTGATAACTTTTCTAATATCAAACACATGTTTGTTATTTGTTATGTTTTCAATTTTAGTATGTGTTTCTTTCTTTAAATTTCAAATGAAACAAAAAACTGTCAATAATCTCTCGAATTCATGTCATGCGCAGTAATATGCTAAAGGGCATATCTGAAATAGCCCCAAATGTTTTAGTCAATGTAAGTTTTTTCTTGTTATTTGTGTTGTTGTTGTTGTTGTTGTTGTTGTTGTTGTTGTTGTTTAACCAAACGTAAAACCACAATGGTATACAAATGAAATTTTATGTGTTTATGGCAGTTTTATTATATACATGTATAAGATAAACAACAAAACATAAAAATGTATATGTATAGGAAATATATATTAAATATAAGTTAACAATGTTTTGCCATAGAGTTACGATAATGTATTTCGCGTCTAGCCACTAAGACAACTTCAACAGTGAATTCTTCCTTTTTGTCAAACCCCTCGTAAGGACGTAGACAGTCGGGACGTCTAGCTACTAAGAAAAGTAAAACAGTGAAATAATAGGAGGCGTATATAAGTTATTATAAACGTATAAAACAAAGTAGGAAATATTAAGGGTTTGTTAAAAGTAAAAGCAGTCTGGCAATCTGTTATAGTGATATATGATCTTATTGGCTACTTGTTAAGTTTGGGGAACTTTGTGGGACCAGACATCATGCATGTTATGGTTGTGGTCGAATAAGGGAATTGTATGCTATGCAGTTAAAGGGGTTCTGAGTTTAGCTTTCTAAATCGGTTTGGTTTGGTTTGCCTTTAAAGTAGCCTGTTTATGTCCTAATCCCATGAGAAATCATTTGATATTTTTTCCACGCACATCTATTAATCCGATTTGTTACAGCCTCTTGATAAGTTTCTATTAAAATAATAATTAGTTGGTATATATTGCTGGTCTTCTTGTGATGTTGATTATACTTAACATTGAGATGGGTTGAATCCAAAATCCTCGTTTCTCAGATATCTAGAAATCTTTTTGAAGGGTGTCCGATTGCTGATCTGTTGTTAGTAGTTATATTTAGTAGTTTCATCAGCAAATAGACGAACTTTTGATTTGACGTCCTTTGGAATGTAATTTAAGTATAAAAAAGAGGGGCCCAAGCATCGGCCCAGGGCTACGAGACAAGGATTGGAGCCTAGCATGTAAGAAACTTTTGACCCATTAAAGTGTTTGACCTCTTATAGTATAGTTATGCATTTCTTCAATTTTAAGAGGATGAGGTTTACTCGCGATAAGGTAGGATAAAATAGAATAAGATAATTATATGTTTTTAAGTGAAGGCAAAAATATGCCACCGTTCTGGGCAATGGAAACTATTTAGTAGTGTAAACCTTAAAGCCATATAGCGTTCCCAAACCTATGTAATAATTGCGACTATCACAGCAACTTTATCTCACAGACACGGGAAATGGGAAAGCGCGCAAAAGTGCGGCAATTTCAACAAAGTAAATAAAAGATAATTTCCAGGAACTAATTTCCATAACGGCTTTCATTGAAACGGCGTTGCCATAAATCATGACATCAGAGACAGAGTTGTCTGTATACTGTATCGTTAATGTTGCATCTCCCCCAGTTGCACTAACCAGGTTTGAAATTATGTTTCGACATAAACTGATAAATTTATGAAACAAAAAAAATAGACATCATTGTCAAATGTCATAACATTGTACATAGTCCAACAAAAATTTGTACAGATAATGAGGTATTCACTTAGTGATGTTTAAATTTAAAAACATGTTCACAGTAAAACACGTAAATCCATACTGGTTGGGGACTAGTCCAATAGATTAGACGCTACAGGCTTGTTATAGTCTTATGTTGGTCAAGCCTGACGTCTAATAGTTATTGGTCAAAAACGCGTAGCATTTTGAAAAATTAAAAAAATGTCTGTTGACTTGCCTTTCAAGCTTTATTCAAAAGCTTATCTTCTGTTCTTTCAATTGCATGGTCTATCATTAACAAAAAGTTTCAAACAATGTACTTATTAATTAAAAATAAAATATAAATATCAATCTATTTCGCTCATCGGCCATACTGGTTTAGTAAAGCGTTTTACAGATTAATTCCAATTTTTTTAACGGAAAAATATTTTCGAACACACTGACGGTGCATGGGCAATTATTTCGTTGAAAAAATATTCCGTTAGAAACTACTGGAGTCATTTAAACGCTTGCATTTTAATTAGCCAATCAGATTTCGCGCACTGTATGGCGGCCATATATATTTCTGCTGTACATGGAATTTAATTAAATGAGAGGATTTAATCATGACTTTTCGGGTGTGACAGTTCAATTATTTTGTTGAAAGGTATTTAATTTTTAGTTTTGTTCATAAATAGTTCAAAATTTATGTAAATACACGCTGTTTTAATTGTTAAAATGCATTAGATCTAAATCGATGTCTAATGTCAATTTTTTTGCTACACGATTTTGCAAAGATCTGTTAAGACCTAACGTAACATGGAAAATGAAAAATGTAAAATATCAGATTAATGAATGATAAATATGAAATAGGTTACGTATAGGTCTTATAATTAGGACTAGTTGGGGACCACCAAAACCGGACAACCACCAAACCCGGACGGCCCTCAAAATGCTTAATTTAGTATTTTCTTTATTCAGTGGTTATCAGTCATTTTTTTATCAACAATAAATGCATGTTTCTTCTAAAATTAAGTAAATAAATTTATTTCAACCTCCGTAAATGGTAACATTTTAATGTCTATTTCAAAAATGTTTACGTAGAAATTTGGGGGTCAAGAAAGTAATGCCTGACCTTATATACCAGCTATAATAATTTGCAGAGTAAACAATACAATATCTAAAGCTTCAGCATTTGTTGCTGAAATACTGTATAACATGTTAAAAATCAAAAATTAAAACATCCAAGCTTTTATCTGAATTAAATCACATCATGTTCATATCTGTCCGGACACATGGTACTGTTGTGTAGACAATTTAGGTAATTTTTATTCCCTCCTTGTCGAGCCTCAGATATAAGTGTCAATACAATCAGAAATAAACAAACTAGTTTGTAAGTAAGGAGAAGAACCTAGCTCAACTGTGTCAAATTTTTAGGTTTCTAGGTTAAAAATTATTAAATCTGTACGGAAAAATGTTAAAAAAGTGTCCGACCAGTAGGTGTTCGGCGCGTTGATCGGTCACTACCCCCCCCCCCCCCCCCCCCCCCCCCCGCCCACTCTTCAACCTCTCAAAATCATGTAAACTGCAGTATTTTTCATTTGAAACATGTTTTTACATTTGGTATATGTTTTTAATTTAATTACCTTCATTTCCCACAAAAATATTTCTTTATTAATACAATAAAATACAAATATCTACTTTATTAAAGAACTTAAACAATACGGTAAAAAGCATATTGCAATATGCCACATCCGTAATAAATTGCAATACGTATTGGTACTGGGAATTAATTCTGAAAAAATATGAGACTAATATTATATTCAACAAATATATCTCTATCTCTTTTGCGAAACAGAATAAGTGGATATTTTCCCTTAACACAAATTTAGATTGTTAAAACTATTGCAGCATCCACTTTTAAGTAATTTAACTTAACAGCAGAATTAACACTTGAAACACTTCATTAAGTAACATTGTAACAATAATGAATTTATCATTTTGTGAAGCTGTCATAAATGCGTTTGTAAATTGTAGTGCCCCCACCACATTTGACTGCAACACCGCATCGATCACTAAATGCTGTATTTTCAATAATTTCATCAGACTCCCTTTCCCTTTCGGATTTTTTATCGGATCGTTATCTTTTTCGTCTGCCATAGTAAATCACTGAACGCTTTGATCCACATTTTAGCATTTGTCCACCCATGCACTGTTTTTTTAGCTCACCTGTCACAAAGTGACAGGGTGAGCTTTTGTGATCGCTTTTCGTCCGTCGTCCGTCCGTTGTCCGTAAACTTTTACTTTAAATGACATCTCCTCATAAACCACAAGGCCAATTTCATCCAAACTTCACAGGAATGTTCCTTTGGTGGTCACCTTTAAAAATTGTTCAAAGAATTTAATTCCATGCAGAACTCTGGTTGCCATGGCAACCGAAAGAAAAAACTTTAAATATCTTCTTTAAAAAAAACATAAGAGCTAGAGCTTAGATATTTGGCATGAAACATCTTCTAGTGAGTGTCTACCAAGTTTGTTCAAACAAAAGCCCTGGGGTCAAAATTGGCCCCGCCCCGGGGGGTCATTGATTTTCCATATATGCATATAGTAAAAACTTAAAAAATCTTCTTTTAAAGAACTCAAAGAGCTATGGCTTAGATATTGAGCATCAAACATGTTCTAATAGGTGTCTACCAAGTTTGTTCAAAGAAAAGCCCTGGGGTCAAAATTGGCCCAGCCCCAGGGGGTCATTGATTTTCCCTATATGCATATAGTAAAAACTTAAAAAATCTTCTTTTAAAGAACCAAAAGAGTTAGAGCTAAGATATTTAGCATTAAACATGTTCTAATAAGTGTCTACCAAGTTTGTTCAAATAAAAGCCCTTGGGTCAAAATTGACCCCGCCCCGGGGGGTCATTGATTTTCCCTATATATGCATATAGTAAAAACTTTAAAAATCTTCTTTTAAAGAACTCAAAGAGCTATGGTTAAGATATTTAGCATCAAACATGTTCTAATAGGTGTCTATAGGTCATTGATTTTCCTTATATGTGTATAGCAAAAACTTAAAAAATCTTTTTTGAAAAAACCCAAATAGCTAGAGTTAAGATATTAAGCATGAAACATCTTTTAGTGAGTGTCTACAAAGTTTGTTCAAATAAAAGACCTGGGGTCAAAATTGGCCCCGCCCTGGGGTCATTGATTTTCCTTATATGTGTATAGCAAAAACTTAAAATCTTCTTTGAAAAACGCCAAATAGCTAGAGTCTAGATATTAAGCATGAGACATATTCTAGTAAGTGTTTACAAAGTTTGTTCAAATAAAAACCCTGGGGTCATAACTGGCCCGGCCCCAGGGGTGTCATTGTTTTTAACTATATGTGTATAGTAAAAACTTTAAAAAAATCTTCTTTTAAATAGCCCAATGAGCTAGAGCTTAGATGTTAAGCATGAAACATCTTCTTATGGGTGTCTACCAAGTTTGTGCAAATAAAAGCCCTTTGGTTAAATTGGCCCTGCAACGTTTGGGGGGGGGGGGGCCTATATACAGCAGTGTTTCTGCCAGCTCTGATTTTCTGAGGGTCTTAAATGACCCCCTGTATGATATTTTAGGGGTCATTTCAAATTCATAAGGGTCATGCCAATAAATTTAACAAAAATGTAAAAAAAAAAAAAACAGGTAACACTTTATAAGTTTTATTTACAATATTTTGTATATTTTTCATGAAGAAATTGGTCAATCTCTGCTATTTTGGATTATTTGTCATCCAATAATAACGCTGTATTTCTTAAAAATTATGTGTGTTAATTTTCATAGAAGAAAGAAAGTCGATACTATATTGAAATTCGTTCATAGTCGCCTTCTAATTTTCATAGTGCTTCGAAGTACCGTCTAGTGACGTAATCAAGGGCCAAATAAAGCTTGACACTAAATATGTTAGTGTTCATCCTTAGCTGTTTTACAGAAATTAGAAACATTCTCCTGTCGCTATCGCTCCCTTCGAAGTTTCTAATTTCTGTAGAACAGCACAGATGAACACTAACATATACGCAGACTGCATTTTCCAGCAGACAGTTATTCGTTCGCAGAATATGACGACAACAAAATAAATAATTTTGTCTGGGCGCTTTCAATATATGCAGTAACGTATAAATGCAAGCGTTTATTAACTAGTTGAAATTGGCTAAATGCCGGACCACGGACCCGGTAAATTTCATTTCTCATTAAAATTATAGTGGAGCCCACGGTAAACATTCCGTACATTTTTATACTGAATTGACGGTTTATAGTCTGTATATCTGACTTGTGTTGAAATCAGCGACGGTGAAATTCTTGCGTCACAAAATACGCACTAACTAAATTTCATTGCGTCATGGCTGAAAATAGTGCGCCAAAAACGCGCTCTGGCAGAAACACTGATACAGGTGAGCGACCTCAGGGCCATCATGGCCCTCTTGTTTTATTCTTACACTGTTTTATTACATGCTTCTTACTTTTTGTTTGTTATTTTCGTTCATGCATAGGACATTTTCATAACATTAAATTAGCAAGAAAATTATGGAACACTGTTATTACTAAATAAAACAGGTACAACTGAATGTGAACTGTGGTACAATCATTGTTTCCCCAATACCATAATATATTGATGTACTGCTAAACTGTTGCAGCCCTACTTTATTTTGTTAAAAATACTTGCACATCTTTCCAAAATAATGATTAAAAAGATATATCAGGGTGAGATTTTGGGTAAATTTCCATTTTTTTATAATTTTTTAAATTAAAAACTGGTTCTTATAATTCATTATTATTGTGATAGTATCATATCGAATAGAAATCGAATATAACAACTTCATTCCAACAAAACAATAGACTAAACTAAACTACTGTACTACAAGTGTCTAATCATTGGTTTTCAGCTTTGCAAAAACTTTATAGGTAGTGCCCTGGTTCCAGGCTCATTATTTACCTCATTCTGATGAATTGGATTAATTAATTGAAGAAGTTGTACCCACTTGTATGCATAGTGCATAAAGGAATCTCCTTCCTGTGCTAGCAAAAAATGAAACAAATTGAATTAAATAAGCTTGCAGCAAATCATACAGTGATCAGAAATAACAGGTGCACAAGCATGGTTACTTGAAGTTGTTCAAACCTTTAGGAATACTTGCAAAATTTAAGAAAGAAAAAGGCCTATGTCAGTTAAGTGCAACAGGCCAACAGTATGCCTAGTTGACAATCCTTTTTCTGATGGCACCATTCACCTGAAAAACCTGACAAACACAACAAAGTGGTATAAGATATATTGGTTAATAAATGATTGTTGAAGAGTTCAGCTTTTTATTTGTTTGTTTTTTTTATGCTCCCCGAAAAAATTTCGGGGGAGCATATAGTCGCCGCCTTGTCCGTCCGTCCGTCCGTCCGTCTTTCCGTCCGTCCGTCCGTCCGTCCGTCCGTCCGTCCGTCCCCTTTTCTTGTCCGGGACATAACTTTGAAACAACAAGAGGTATCAACATGAAACTTTGTAGGTAGATAGATCTCATTGAGTAGGTGTGCAGTGCACAAGAACCATAACTCTGCCTTGCCTAATTTTTGAATTATTCCCCTTTGTTTATTTTTACACTTTGAACTTTGTCCGGGACATAACTCTAAAAGTATAAGAGGTATCAACATGAAACTTTGTAGGTAGATAGATCTCATTGAGTAGAAGTGCAGTGCACAAGAACCGTAACTCTGCCTTGCCTAATTTTTGAATTATCCCCCTTGTTTATTTACACTTTGAACTTTGTCCGGGACATAACTCTAAAAGAATAAGAGGTATCAACATGAAACTTTGTAGGTAGATAGATCTCATTGAGTAGGTGTGCAGTGCACAAGAACCGTAACTCTGCCTTGCCTAATTTTTGAATTACCCCCTTTGTTTATTTTACACTTTGAAATTTGTCCGGGACATAACTCTAAAAGTATAAGAGGTATCAACATGAAACTTTGTAGGTAGATAGATCTCATTGAGTAGAAGTGCAGTGCACAAGAACCGTAACTCTGCCTTGCCTAATTTTTGAATTATCCCCCTTTGTTTATTTTACACTTTGAACTTTGTCCGGGACATAACTCTAAAAGTATAAGAGGTATCAACATGAAACTTTGTAGGTAGATAGATCTCATTGAGTAGGTGTGCAGTGCACAAGAACTGTAACTCTGCCTTGCCTAATTTTTGAATTATCCCCCTTTGTTTATTTTACACTTTGAAATTTGTCCGGGACATAACTCTAAAAGTATAAGAGGTATCAACATGAAACTTTGTAGGTAGATAGTTCTCATTGAGTAGGTATGCAGTGCACAAGAACCGTAACTCTGCCTTGTCTAATTTTTGAATTATCCCCCTTTGTTTATTTTTTACACTTTGAACTTTGTCCGGGACATATTTCTTAATGTATAAGAGATATCAACATGAAACTTTTTAGGTAGATAGATCTCATTGAGTAAGTTTGCAGTGCACAAGAACTGTAACACTGTCTTGCCTTCTTTTGTAGTTATTGCCCTTTGTTCATTTTGACACTTTGAACTTTGTCTGGGACATTATTCTAAAATTATAAGAGATATCAACATGAAACTTTGTAGATAGATTGGTCTCATTGGGTGGAAGTGCAGTGCTTAAGAATCATTACTCTGCCTTGCCTTATTTTGAAGTAATTGCCCTTTGTTTATTTTTACTTTTTGACTTTTGTCCTGGACATTACTTTAAAACTATTAGAGATATCAACATGAAACTTTGTAGGTAGCTAGATATAATTGGATAGAACTGCAACGCTTCAAGAACCTAAACAAAGCCTGGTGTAATTTTGGAGTTATAATTGCCCTTTGTTCATTTTTTTTATACTTTCCTGTGTCCAGAACCTTCTCGGGGAGCATCACCCGGTTCAACCGGTTCTTGTTTTCTTCCATTACAAGACGGAAGGAGACAGGAGCCTTTTATTACCACTTGCCAGTTCCAATACAAGATCAGTTAGTAATCTTCTGTGAGGGAAACTGGAACCCAGCTTCATCAGAATATACAGTGACTGTAACTTACAAAGATGATGAGATAGAGTTAGGGAAAATAACAAATAGCAGCAGGTTAGTTGAATATTACAAATTATTACAATTAGTCTGGCCTTACTAAATATTTGTGTTTAATTTGTGCTTTGATCTTTATGATATATTTATCAATAAACTTAAAATTTTCAATGTATTACAAATATATTACTGCATAGGATTGATATGCAAATGGTGACTTTTGACGGCTTGGTAGGGACAGAATTTTGGCACCATTCTCCTCACTAGAAAGTATTTTTCCCCTGTTTTGGCCGTTGTCTCCGTTACTAAGCTTTCCCCTCCTTTTTCAAAAGACTTCACCACAAACATTGACATGTGTTCTACTGTTAAGAAATATTTATGGTGAAATTCTTTCTTCTTGTAATCAACTAATCTGATCAATAAAATTTAAAAGATTTGTTTCATATAGGGTTTCTATGCATTTTTCCTCTGCAACACAATTTTCCCTCTTCCATGGGCCTTGCCATCTTTCTTTGAGGGGGGGGGGGAAACAGCAGCAAATTAAAACCTGAACAATTTTATTGTTGACCTTCCAATGCTTCTCTCAGCTGGTTCATAATACCATGCCTCATGCTCAAGGTAATTGTTTTAGCACCATGTGCACTCCTCTTAAATCAGGATGGAGATTTACAGTGCTTGCTAATGTGTACGTTAAAATGTCAAAGTCGATGGTTATACTTTTTAAAACTTGCATGTACATAAAAAAAATCGAAGCCTGTGTAATGTGTTTTTTGAGACTTTAAAAGCAAAACTAACTTGTTTTGCTGAATACAATAGGCACTTTGATTAAGGTAGCTTAAAGGAAAGAATAATTTCCGTCGAATGCTTTAGAATTTAAGATATTTTGTCCGCCAATGGCGTTGAAATACCCGTAACAGTTGCCAAGGATACGCAACAACGTCATGTTCAAAAACGGGCTTTGATGGTCAACTTTGACGTCGTGTGTACACAAATTAGCTGAAACTACTGGAATGAAATCAACGGAATCTAATCAGAAATATGGTCAACTTTCTGCTTGCCAATTTTCAAGACGCTACTTGAAAGTTCGCAAAGTGTCGCGTTCTACCTTAAATTGTTTGAACACAAATGGTTTGATTAGCTATGAATAGATTGTCTTTAACTTGTACTAGTATAGGCTGAACATGATCCTTGTTACAATTGTTACTTTAATAACTTACCGTCACTGCACATACATCCATGGGGTAGGGAAGGGCATATTCGTCATTCTGACATTTCATCTCCATACTTGCTTTAGTGTTGCAACTTTATACTGATATTCAATTCAATTCAATTCACTAGTTCTTTAATAAGTTTTTATTGGTACTAAGATAAATAAAATAATCTGAATATCATTAATTTTTAGCTCACCTGTCACAAAGTGACAGGGTGAGCTTTTGTGATCGCTTTTCGTCCGGCGTCCGTCCGTCCGTCCGTCCGTCCGTCCGTCGTCCGTCGTCCGTCCGTAAACTTTTACTTTAAATGACATCTCCTCATAAACCACTAAGCCAATTTCATCCAAACTTCACAGGAATGTTCCTTTGGTGGTCACCTTTAAAAATTGTTCAAAGAATTTAATTCCATGCAGAACTCTGGTTGCCATGGCAACCGAAAGAAAAAACTTTAAATATCTTCTTTTAAAAAACCATAAGAGCTAGAGCTTAGATATTTGGCATGAAACATCTTCTAGTGAGTGTCTACCAAGTTTGTTCAAATAAAAGCCCTGGGGTCAAAATTGGCCCCGCCCCGGGGGGTCATTGATTTTCCCTATATGCATATAGTAAAAACTTAAAAAATCTTCTTTTAAAAAACCCAAAGAGCTAGAGCTAAGATATTTAGCATGAAACATGTTCTAATGGGTGTCTACCAAGTTTGTTCAAATAAAAGCCCTGGGGTCAAAATTGGCCCCGCCCCGGGGGGTCATTGATTTTCCCTATATGCATATAGTAAAAACTTAAAAAATCTTCTTTTAAAGAACTCAAAGAGCTATGGCTAAGATATTGAGCATCAAACATGTTCTAATAGGTGTCTACCAAGTTTGTTCAAATAAAAGCCCTGGGGTCAAAATTGGCCCCGCCCCAGGGGGTCATTGATTTTCCCTATATGCATATAGTAAAAACTTAAAAAATCTTCTTTTAAAGAACCCAAAGAGTTAGAGCTAAGATATTTAGCATGAAACATGTTCTAATAAGTGTCTACCAAGTTTGTTCAAATAAAAGCCCTGGGGTCAAAATTGGCCCGCCCCGGGGGGTCATTGATTTTCCCTATATGCATATAGTAAAAACTTAAAAAGTCTTCTTTTAAAAAACCCATAGAGCTAGAGCTAAGATATTTAGCATGAAACATGTTCTAATGGGTGTCTACCAAGTTTGTTCAAATAAAAGCCCTGGGGTCAAAATTGGCCCGCCCCGGGGGGTCATTGATTTTCCCTATATGCATATAGTAAAAACTTAAAAAGTCTTCTTTTAAAGTACCCAAAGAGCTAGAGCTAAGATATTTAGCATGAAACATGTTCTAATGGGTGTCTACCAAGTTTGTTCAAATAAAAGCCCTGGGGTCAAAATTGGCCCCGCCCCAGGGGTGTCATTGTTTTTAACTATATGTGTATAGTAAAAACTTTAAAAAAATCTTCTTTTGAAAAGCCCAATGAGCTAGAGCTAAGATGTTTAGCATGAAACATCTTCTTATGGGTGTCTACCAAGTTTGTGCAAATAAAAGCCCTTGGGTTAAAATTGGCCCTGCAACGTTGTGGGGGGGGGGGGGGGGCCTATATACAGGTGAGCGATCTCAGGGCCATCATGGCCCTCTTGTCTTCTTTAGATGCTTGTTTTGGAAGCGGGGAGGGACCACAATTCCCGAATCAATGTCAAACGAGGATGAGAAAGGCCTGGCAAAGCTTGTAGTTGAAATGTCTGAGGAGCCAATACAAGTAGAAAATATGGAGATAACAACAAACACCAAAACTGATCTGAGACTTGTCAATGAAAATACTCCACAGGTAAGTGTATTTGATTAGGTATTAAATTTTCATGAAAATTTGTCACTGGATTGCTAGTACCCGTATATGCCGGAAGGTGTCTATACATTTCTTTTTCATATGAATATATTTGTAATAATGCACTTGACTGTCCTATACACTGTATCAACACAGGGAGTCACATGACCTCTCGAAGGTAAACATTCCCACTAACCAGCTGTTTCAAATACACAATCTTGCGACAAATTGCTTAGCAGCCAACAAAAGTATGGTGTTTTATTGATGTGTTTCTGAATACATTTTTACAATGTTTCTGTGCATGGTTTCCCTATAGATCAGTCACTGCAAAATGTGAATTAACATTGTACTTTAACTTTTACTTATATGTTTTGTGGAAAATAAATTTCTTGATAATTTTTTATTTGGTTAACATTAATTTTTAGCTCACCTGTCACAAAGTGACAGGGTGAGCTTTTGTGATCGCTTTTCGTCCGGCGTCCGTCGTCCGTCCGTCGTCCGTCCGTCGTCCGTAAACTTTTACTTTAAATGACATCTCCTCATAAACCACTAGGCCAATTTCATCGAAACTTCACAGGAATGTTCCTTTGGTGGTCACCTTTAAAAATTGTTCAAAGAATTTAATTCCATGCAGAACTCTGGTTGCCATGGCAACCGAAAGAAAAAACTTTAAATATCTTCTTTTAAAAACCCCTAAGAGCTAGAGCTTAGATATTTGGCATGAAACATCTTCTAGTAAGTGTCTACCAAGTTTGTTCAAATAAAAGCCCTGGGGTCAAAATTGGCCCCGCCCCAGGGGGTCATTGATTTTCCCTATATGCATATAGTAAAAACTTAAAAAATCTTCTTTTAAAGAACCCAAAGAGCTAGAGCTAAGATATTTAGCATGAAACATGTTCTAATGAATGTCTACCAAGTTTGTTCAACTAAAAGCCCTGGGGTCAAAATTGGCCCCGCCCCAGGGGGTCATTGATTTTCCCTATATGCATATAGTAAAAACTTAAAAATCTTCTTTTAAAGAACTTAAAGAGCTAGAGCTAAGATATTTAGCATCAAACATGTTCTAATAGGTGTCTACCAAGTTTGTTTTAATAAAAGCCCTGGGGTCAAAATTGGCCCCGCCCCGGGGGGTCATTGATTTCCTTATATGTGTATAGCAAAAGCTTATAAAATCTTCTTTGAACAAACCCAGATAGCTAGAGTTTAGATATTAAGCATGAAACATCTTCTAGTGAGTGTGTACGAAGTTTGTTCAAATAAAAGCCCTGGGGTGAAAATTGGCCCCGCCCCGGGGGTCATTGATTTTCCCTATATGCATATAGTAAAAACTTAAAAATTTTCTTTTAAAGAACTCAAAGAGCTAGAGCTTAGATATTTGGCATGAAACATCTTCTAGTGTGTGTCTACCAAGTTTGTTCAAATAAAAGCCCTGGGGTCAAAATTGGCCCCGCCCCGGGGGGTCATTGATTTTCCCTATATGCATATAGTAAAAACTTAAAAAATCTTCTTTTAAAGAACCCAAAGAGCTAGAGCTAAGATATTTAGCATGAAACATGTTCTAATGGGTGTCTACCAAGTTTGTTCAAATAAAAGCCCTGGGGTGAAAATTGGCCCCGCCCCGGGGGGTCATTGATTTTCCCTATATGCATATAGTAAAAACTTAAAAAATCTTCTTTTAAAGAACTCAAAGAGCTATGGCTAAGATATTGAGCATCAAACATGTTCTAATAGGTGTCTACCAAGTTTGTTCAAATACAAGCCCAGGGGTCAAAATTGGCTCCGCCCCGGGGGTCATTGATTTTCTTTATATGTGTTTAGCAAAAACTTTAAATCTTCTTTTAAAGAACTTAAAGAGCTAGAGCTAAGATATTTAGCATCAAACATCTTCTAGTAAGTGTCTACAAAGTTTGTTCAAATAAAAGCCCTGGGGTCAAAACTGGCCCGGCCCCAGGGGTGTCATTGTTTTTAACTATATGTGTATAGTAAAAACTTTAAAAAAATCTTCTTTTAAAAAGCCCAATGAGCTAGAGCTTAGATGTTTAGCATGAAACATCTTCTTATGGGTGTCTACCAAGTTTGTGCAAATAAAAGCCCTTGGGTTAAATTGGCCCTGCAACGTTGGTGGGGGGTGGGGGTTGGGGGGGGGCTATATACAGGTGAGCGACCTCAGGGCCATCATGGCCCTCTTGTTTTCTATTGTTAATTTTTACATCTCCAAATTGGGCCATTCAGTATATGTTTTCCAGTAATTATGCTATAGCTGTGATTTTCCTATGAATTGTCCTTCACTTCACAATGTAATGTGTTAAAGTTTTACAAGCAGATGCTAAAAAAACATTTGTATGGACAAATGAAACCTTTTATGCACAAATGTAACCTGGTCTTCAGAAAGACATATAAAGCCTTTATTGTGAGCTATTTCTTTTCCTTTTGCTCCATAATTTTAACAATATAGAAAAAAACTAGTTTTTAGCTCACCTGTCACAAAGTGACAGGATGAGCTTTTGTGATCACTTTTCGTCCGGCATCCGGCCATTCGTCGTCTGTAAACTTTTACTTTAAATAACATCTCCTCATAAACCACGAAGCCAATTTCATCCAAATTTCACAGGAATGTTCCTTTGGTGGTCACCTTTGAAAATTGTTCAAAGAATTTAATTCCATGGCAACCAAAAGAAAAAACTTTAAATATCTTCAAAAAAAACCAAAGAGCTAGAGCTCAGATATTTGGCATGGAACATCTTCTAGTGAGTGTCTACCAAGTTTGCTCAAGGCCCCGCCCCAGGGGGTCATTGATTTTCCCTATATGCATATAGTAAAAACTTAAAAAATCTTATTTTAAAGAACCCAAAGAGCTAGAGCTAAGATATTTAGCATGAAACATCTTCTAATGGATGTCTACCAAGTTTGTCCAAATAAAAGCCCTGGGGTCAAAATTGGCCCCGCCCCAGGGGGTCATTGATTTTCCCTATATGCATATAGTAAAAACTTAAAAATCTCCTTTAAAGAATCCAAAGAGCTAAAGCTAAGATATTTAGCATAAAACATGTTCTAATGGATGTCTATAAAGTTTGTTAAAAAAAAAAAACCTGGGGTCAAAATTGGCCCCGCCCCAGGGTCATTGATTTTCCTTATATGTGTATAGCAAATACTTTAAAAAAATCTTCTTTGATAAAAACCAAATAGCTAGAGTTTATATACTAAGCATGAAACGTCTTCAAGTGAGTGTCTACAAAGTTTGTTCAAATAAAAGCCCTGGGGTCAAAATTTCCCCCGCCCAGGGGGTCATTTAGTTTCGTTATATGTGTATAGCAAAAACTTAAAAAATCTTCTTTTAAAAAAACTCAAATAGCTTAGATATTAAGCATGAAGCATCTTCTTGTGAGTTACTACAAAGTTTGTTCAAATAAAAGCCCTGGGGTCAAAATTGGCCCGCCCCGGGGGCCTATATACAGGTGAGCGACTTCAGGGCCATCATGGCCCTCTTGTTGGCTATTAACATCTGGTATTTTGAAATTGCATTACTATACTGAATAGTTTTAAACTTTTTACAACAGCACCCCTGTGTCTGTTTAGCCACTATAGTCAGGTGACTGGCTTGTTGATACAGTGTATCTGTTTTATAGGGAAATAATGAGAAGTGTGTTAAAATTGATGATCTGATTTTTTATCACAAAACAAGAATATCACATTTCAAAATGAAAGAATTTATGGTAATGATATGGTGAAGAAATGAGGGATAAAAGCCAAATTTATAGTGTGGCTTATAGTGACATTTCAGTCATGTTTTCCCCAAGTACAAAAAAGTTTGCATGTTTTTATTGGCTACAACAATGTTCAGATGTTAAATATAGAACATGCATTGGGTTGAAGCAACATAATGTATTAAAATTGCATGAGTGTGAAGTGAAAGCATGCATGAACTCTTATTATAATTGTAAGTACTTTCTTCTGTTAGATTTGTTGTTGGTTTATTTCTAGTTAACTGAAGAGACAGAAAATACACCAGAAAGGCCTCAGAAGAAACGGAAAACCAGTCTTACTAATAAAGATGAAAAAACACCAACAGGGCAGGCATCTAAAAAACTAAAGACTAAAAAAGTACCCACAAGATTGAGAACACCAAATGATGATAAAAAAACAAAAAGTAAAGAGGAATCTCCTAAAAATGAAAAGAAATCTGATAAATCTACCAATAAATATACTAAAGGTAAACAAAAGGCTTCACTGTCTGAAAGTGATGCTAAGGCAGATAAAAAAGACCAGAAATCACATGAAAAGGACATTTCAAGTGAAGGAGACCAGAAGTCAAATAATGTCAAAAAAGCTGACCAATCTTCTGAAAATTTGTCTGAGGAGTTGAGCCCTAGTGTAAGTAAAGGAATGAAGACTGGGAAAGGAAGTGGGGGGAAACAAGGAAAACTTACTCCTTGGTTAAACACAGAGCAAAATATAAATAATGAAAACAATGATGTAGGTAAGAAACAAAATGAAAAAAATGTCAGAAAAAAGTCAGAAACAAAGAAGAAAATGGACACTTCACAATCTGAGGAAACAGAAGGGAAAACAAAAAGGACACGGAAGAAAAAAGATAATCAGAATGATAGTATTAATGAGGATAGTGAAAATAATGATTCAAATGATAACAAACTTACAAATATAGACAAGGAAAATGTGCAGGTTGATGGTAATATTCCATCTGTTCATACAGATCAGAAATCAGAGTCTGAAGAAAGAATTCCTGTCAAAGAATCAAAAAGTTCATTTACCATATCTACCACTGGGAAAGCTGCAACTTGTAAAGATCTTACTTTAAGAGGTTAGAAATTTGCAGAAATGATAGAAAAGAATCTAAAATTAAACTGGTTATTTATATCAAAATTCAGGGATCGGGAAAAAAAATCAGAATCACTTGTCGTACAGGATGAGTAGTTTCCAATTTCTACTTGTCCTGCATGCTATGCTTCTTGTCCTGCATTTTAGTTATCATTTTCAAGATAAACTTTGCCAATGCAATAGAACCTCATCGATGCTACAGATCGCTAGAAGTTCACATAATCAGTTATTTTACATAAATTTAAGGAAACAAAACCGGAAACAAAGCTTGTATTTTAGATCATGTATAAATCACGCACTTTACAGAGCATTGTCAGGCACATTCCAATCACACATGTATCCAATTTACAATGCGTTCAGAGCTTTATAAAGTGCATAATTTATACATAACCTAAAACACAAGCTTTGTTTCCAGTTTATGTAAACAAACTGATAACGGGAATTCTAGTGATCTATATCATCAGCAAATTATTGTAGCATACTAAAATTTTGTACTTGTCCTTCCTCGATCTCTATTCCTTAATGCGAGCGGACAAGTGGAATTTTTTATACCTGAAATCAGAATACTAGATGTATATATTTGCTAAGTACTTAAATATAAAGTCCTTTTCTGGGTCTTTTCATTTCAGAATAATTAAGTTAATAGCTGAGTTACACAATTACTAATGTTTACTACATGTCTGTATAGCTGTATTCAAGTAAAAACTCAAGTATTTATTCATATTTCTGTTCTTTTTAACAGGGCACAACTCATGAAAATTTTCTTTGAAATCTTACAAAATATATCACAATATTGCCAATATAATGGACTAGATCTGCTTTCCTTTTTTTGAAAATGAAAAACTAAAACTTTCGATATTTAGGTTATCATTAATAAAATTTCTTATTTTCAGCCTTAGATCGCCCAACAGGAAGATGGGGCCACAGCTTATGTTTTGTTAACAGAAATCTATCAGTTTTAATCGGTGGACAGGGGGAAAAACAGCAAATCAGCAAGGACTCTGTTTGGGCTCTTGATTGTGGTATGTATTGTAATTATGATATCTGTAGGTTTATGATGGGATGAATGTATTCTTAATGCTTGTAAAATTTTGATGGATTACTTTTGCTTCTTCCACAATTGTTAAGTGCTCAAGTTGAGCTTTTCTGATCACTCTGTAAGTCTTGGCATTGCATAAATAATAGAAGGCCATAGTTTTTCAATCTCTTATTTAGTGGAAACAAATATCTGAAATGGGCATGTTGGCATTTTCTTTTTCTTCAGAAACAAGAAGATGGAAAGATCCCCCAACAGTTGCAGAGGGTCAGAAACCAGAATATAGAATGGGCCACACAGCTTCTTATGATCCTCTAGTCAGATGTATTTATGTGTATGGAGGGTCAAAAAACACACGATGGTTTCATGATGTCCACATTCTAGATATTGAAGAATGGAAATGGCAAATTGTTAAGGTATAATATATTCATTTTTTTCTCATTTATATTTTATTTTTTATGTCTAGAAACCATGCTATAGTATCTATCCTTTGATGTGTCTAACAGTGTCCTATCTGGAAAATAGTTCTGGAAATCTAGATGTTATTTAATACAAAACTAAATAACTTCAAATCCAGTAAAACAAATAATTCTTTGCAGTGAGTCATTTAATTATATTTATCTTTTTATATTGAGATGAATGTTAATTTATTTTTGTTGTATTCAGGTAAATGGTAAAGCTCCTACAAGAGCGTACCACAGTGCGACACTGTACCGACATGAGTTATGGATCTTTGGTGGTGTTTATCCTCGTCCAGACCCACAACCTGATGGTTGTAGTAATGAAGTCCACATCTTTAGTCCAGTAATGGAGAGCTGGTACTCTCCGATAGTATCTGGGGAGAAACCAATCCCTAGATCTGGGTAAGGGCATTATTTATTTCAACCTTACGTAATTGTTCCATTGTGTGCAATTATTATAGATAGAAATTGTTTTTGTAATTTGCAGAGTTATTTTGTTGTTTTTTTTAATCATATTTCAATAAAAAAAAACTTAACTAAACTGCAATGTTGTGCTGCGAGACAAATACACCTTGTTGTTATCTACCAAATTGATCTGTTGTTTCTTTTCAGGCATTCAGCAACCCTCATCAATGACCAGTTGGTAGTGTTTGGTGGTTGGGATGCTCCTATTTCATACAATGATCTTCATGTTTTAGATATGAGTAAGTGATTTCAGAAATCAAATAAAATTGCTAGTCATGTAAATATTGAGCTGTGCCATGACAAAACCAACATAGTGCGTTTGCGACCAGCCTGGTTCCATATCAGCCTGCGCATCCACTCAGTCTGATCAGGATCCATGCTGTTCACTTACAAACAAAATTACAAGTAGTGAAGCTGATAGTTAACATCATGGATCCTGATCAGTCAGCTCAGATGCACAGTCTGGTCTGGATCCATGATGGTCACACACACACTTTGTTGGTATTGTCATGACGTGGCTCATTATATATAATTTGAAACTGCTGAATTTGCTAGAAAGCCTTGATTATCTTCCATTTTGAAACCAGCCTACATCAATATGAGGGATATAACAATGAAAATTGGGAAGTTTTTCTGCAAACAGGAAAGATGTTAGTCTAAATGAATGAATGTACATGCTGATCTGACTGCTTGTCATGAAGGCTTTTATGTTTCACTTCTTTATTAGGGTAAAAAATAATTAGTACATGTAGTTAAAAGAATAGAAGCTGTTATGAAATTGGCAATTTGATCTGGAATTTATTTAAGTGCAGTCAGTTGATAAAAATGTTATTAGTTGCTCTTGATCTGTTCGTGCTTTGATATATGTATGCCACACTAAAAATGGTGTACCATCATGTACATGTAATAATAGGCCTATGGTGTATGTTTTTATCCTGCAAGTGATTGAAATATTGTGTGCATGCTCCTCCCTGTAAGTGGTGCTTACATTATGTGAAAGAAAGCACAAGTATGTGATAATAGGCCAAAAATAAAATTATGTTTGTTTCCCCTTCCTGACCCATTAAAATTAGGGTTAGGTAGGTAGGTAGGGAAATTTTTTTTTTTAAATGTGCATAATAATAAATAATCTGCATATATGTGTAATGAACTATTAAGATTAATTTATGAAGTGCAATAGTATATGTACATGCATTACAATATTCACAACTGACATATGCAACATTTTATTAACTAGCTGTCTAAAATATCAGATTAGATTGTACCTATTGTTCTCTGAAAGAAAAAAATACTTTCATCTTCACTTTCATACTTTCAAGAACCTGGCAAAAATCTTTTGGGTAGGGGCAAATTTGTTGGCTAGGTAGGGAAACAAATTAAATTTTATTTTAGGCCCTATAATGAGTGTGTATTACATGTACTTAATAAATTATAGAACACTTATATTTTCACTTGCAGGTATAGTTGAATGGTCTCAGCCTAATGTGACAGGTTCTCCACCAAGCCCTAGAAGGTATGTTTAAAATGGGAGAAGAAAATGATGTCTTTTTATACCCCACCATATAAATCAAAGGATGGATCTCTACTGGAATCAGTTTGTTACATCAGTCTGTCTGATGGTCATTCTGTCCATTTCTATAAATCCTATGCTCCTTGAAAGATTTTCTTCAAACTTGGTCCAAATGTTCACCTGAGCAAGAAAAGGCATGATTAAGATTCTTCCATAACACTGGAAAGCACAAAGTCTCCTGACATTTAGCATGTGATTTTGAGTATGATTTGTTTGTTGAAATTGCTGTTTGGTTTGGAAATAAGACAATATTGGGACAGAATCAAGTCATTGTTTTATTTAAATGCATGCAGGTACATGACCAATAATGGTGCATACAGTATGCAGCATACTTGTATTAAAGAGTATAAAGCTATATCTAATGAAATATTTTTAAATGGTAAAATTATAATCTTTCAATACCTTTATGGTAAATTCTTGAAAGACTTGTTACAAAGAATGTCTCAGTTATTTAACACTCAAAAATGAAAAATATACGAACAGAATAAAATGTTACAGGACATAATAATATGCTGCTGTTTTATATGGCTGCTATTTGATTTAGTTTTTTAACAGTTCAGCAATGCTTTTGTGCATGTGTCATTTGCTAAAAAGGTTATACACCATCATATTTCTTTCATAAATGATGATTTTTGAGTTCTGTTTTTAAAATTCAAACAAAAATTTTGTAGATTTGTAGGAAGCAAAGATATATCTTAATACACTGAACATAAATATAACTTATTTTAGTTGGCATGCCTCCTGTGCCCTCAGTGGGAACAGACTGCTCATACATGGAGGATATAATGGAGACTTCGCCCTAGAGGATACACACATATTCAATCTAGGTTAGAAATTAAATCTTTAATTTGAAATCTGTTTTTGATGCATACAAGTCGCAAGGGTTGCCATTAAATTTTATTTTATTTTTTAACTAATAGAATTTGAGTAGCCTTTTTTTAAAAACAACATGATGTAATAAATTTGTTTTAAAATGGATAATACAGTTTTAAATATACTGATTTGTGTGCTTAGTCAGTGTTTTTATTTTTTCCATAGATGATCTTAGCTGGATACGGATCCATGTTGAGAATCCACCTTCAGCAAGAGTTGGTCACAAGGCGTTGTGTATGCCTTATCGTCATGACAATGAAGAAGAGGATGAAGTCATCATATTTGGAGGTGGTGATAATGACGGGGCTTATTTTTGTGATTTGTACAGTATTTATGTACCTTTTCAACCTGCAACATTATCATGATATTTTGATGTGAAATATTTACACTTATATTGTTAAAGCCTACTGGTTTGTACTCCATAAACTAGCATAGGTCATAGGGAGAGGAAACCTGCACTAACTTGATCAAAATTACGGTGATCAAAATCCTTATAACATTAAACAACCATGCAAAATATTAAGAAAGTGCATTATTAATCAAATATGGTAAAGTTGTATTGAGATTTCAAGAAGCAATCTTGTGTTCACTGTATGATTTGTTGTTTTATTTAAATAAAGTATATATATATTGATAAATAATGAATATTCTTTTCAATGGGGTGTCTTCATCATACTGTCACTAGAATTTGTAAATAAAATTTTTGTTATATTGGTTTAATTTTAATTGCTAAATATGTTTATACAAATTAGTATACATGTAATTGAATGTATTGAATACTAAAGGATATTTGTAACACAATATTAATAAATGATTAATATCTTTTTATTGTTCGCTTATTTTGTGAATCTGACCCAAAGTGCATTGTTAAGCATTTAACTCTAAATTGTTCCTTTATGAGAAATAGTCATACCCCCTAGTCTGTAGATGACTCCATTCCACTCCATAGCTAAAGAACCATTTGACCCACACTCTTCAAACATCATGGGATGATCACCCTCATTTAGTAAAGGACTCCAAACATTTCTGGGCACTGAGGGGTGAAAGTCACGATGACTTTGAAGGTGAAAACGGGTTTTTCTTGATAACTAGAAGACCACAGCCTTCAATTGTGACAGGCAGGTCACAGTAAATTTGAATGTGAAAACCATTTAAGGCCAGTAACTACAAATTTCATATGATGATCACCCTTGGTTGTTATATGACTTCATTTTAGCTCCATAACTAGAGAATCATTTGAACCACAGCCTTCAAATTTCATGATGATCACACTCTTGTTTTTTGGTTCTGATGCAAGAAGTCAAGGTCACAGTGGATTTTTAATATGAAAACTGTTTCTGCTCAATAACTTTATAACCATTTTACCCACAGCCTGATCACTGCGTAGATGACCACTATTGTTAGCTCACCTGTCACAAAATGACATGGTGAGCTTTTGTGATCACTTTTCATCCGGCGTCCGGCCATCTGTAAAACTTTTTCTTTAAACGACATCTCCTCATAAACGGCTAAGCCAATTTTATCCAAACTTCACAGTTTCCTTTGGTAGTGAATCAAAGGATTTAATTCCATGCAGAACTCTGTTTGCCATGGCAGTCAAAAGAAAAAATTAAAAAAAAACGAAAGAGCTAGAGCTCAAATACATTGTATTTGGCATGAAACATCATCTAGTCCGTGTCTACCAACTTTGTTCAAATAAAAGCCCTGGGGGTCAAAATTGCCCCCCCCCCCCCTGAGGGGAGGGGGGGTATCATTGATTTTCCTTATTTGTATATAGTAATAACTTAAAAAATCTTTTAAAAGATTAGAATAGCTAGAGCATGAAACATCTGGTGGGTGTCTACCAAGTTTGTTCAAATAAAAGCCCTGGGGTCAAAATTGGCCCTGCCCTTGGGGGTCATTGTTTTCCCTATATGTATATAGTGAAAACTTAAAAAATCTTCTTTAAAAAACCCCAAATAGCTAGAGCTTAGATATTAAGTATGAAACATCTTCTGGTAGGTGTCTACCAAGTTTGTTCAAATAAAAGCCCCAGGGTTAAAATTGGCCCTGCCACAGGGGGTCATTGTTTTCCCTATATGTATATAGTGAAAACTTAAAATATCTTCTTTAAATAAAACCCAAATCGCTAGAGATTAGATATTAAGCATGAAACATCTTTTAGTGGGTGTCTACCAAGTTTGCTCAAATAAAAGCCCTAGGATCAAAATTGGCCCCGCCCAAGGGGTCATTGTTTTTCCCTTTATGTATAAAGTTAAAAACCGAAAGAGCTAAGATATTTATCATGAAACATCTTCTGGTGGGTGTCTACCAAGTTTGTTCAAATAAAGGTCCTTGGGTAAAAATTAGCCCTGCCCTGGGGGTCATTGATTTTCCTTATGTGTATAGTAAAAACTGAAGACCCAACGAGCTAGAGTTTAGATATCAAGCATGAAATATCTTCTAGTGAGTGTGTACAAAGTTTATTAAAATAAAAGCTCTTGGGTCAAAATTGACCCCGCCTGGGGTGAGGATCATTGTTTTTCCTTATACATGCATAGTAAAAACTTTAAAAAATCTTCTTTTAAAATCTCCAAAGCGCTGGAGCTTAGATATTTATCATGAAACATTTTCTAATGGGTGTCTACCAAAATTGTTCAAATTAAAGCCCTTGTGTTAAAATTGGCCTTGGCCAAGGGGCCTATATACAGGTGACCGATTTCAGGGCCATCATGTCCCTCTTTTGTTATCACTGCGGTATACCGTACCCCGGATATTGCTCGATATTATGAGGACTTTCATCCCATTTCGCGACTTTGAACGGGGAACGAAGGTAAGTTCAGCGACGATATTTTCCAAACTAATGGCTATTTCATTTATCTCAACGGGTTTTATATATCTAGAGGTATTTTTGTAGCTCTAAAAGACGTAAAAGTATTACAGGTATTTGTAAAATTGATTAAACTACCCCTAAACGATCCGCTGCTCACTAGAAAATACTGACCGCGATACTGTAGAATCGTTAGAAATTATTATATTACCAATATAAAAAAAATTGAATCGAGCAATTTTTTTATTCTCAATCCAAGTATGCCTTGTCCAAATTTCAGGCAAAAAGTGTGAAAGTACAAAAAGATACAGGCCAAAAAAGATACAAGAAAGTGTACCGAGCATTGATTTTAAGTGTACAGAGTATTGCAAAATAGCCCAACTTTAGTGTACAGAGTATTGCAAAACAGAATGAGCACATTAGTATGGAAAATCGATATTTTTGTCTAATTTTCACGTATGTTTATCGATTCATTTCATTTTTCTGATATTTATATGATATTTATTCAAATATTTCAGATTCAACAATGCATTTTCAGTGTTATTACTGTTCTTTTCCTACGGGCAAATAAAGAGATTTAATTTCCCATTTGATTGTAAATCACACTATGGATGAAATAAAGTGTGTGCAGGGTCGGAAGCAGGGTAGAACCATCAAAATTGACGATAAAAAACTTTAAATACATGTCCCAAGAAACTTTGATCAAGGAGACCCATCTCTGAAAAGGACAAGAATAAAAAACATATTTAGATGACATTAATAATAGGTTTTTACAGGGCAAGTTTGCCTTAAGAAACATATCGACGCATAAAATATTGGCCCGAGGGCTTATGCCGTCCAAGCATGCCGGTATCGTCTTTACCTTTTACTGCATGAGCATAATGCGAAAAATGGCTGTTTTCATTGAATTATAATTAAGCCTCTTGTTACCAGTTCAAACTGCTTTGAAACTATAACAAGAGCTGTCGGTAGGACAGCACGCTCGACTATTCTAAGTGCTTGATAGTAAAAGAGCCTTGATAATGTTAATTTTTTTAAGATCACAAAAGGTCTAATTTTTTTTTAATAAATTCATGTTATAGGCCTTAGAGAGAGTCTAATTATACAGTATTGGCTTGACTATTCGGAAGGTAATGTCACAAGGTTGTTTTATTGAGTATAATAATACTAATTACCTATGAATACATAAATTTGACAGAAAAGGTACATAGGCTTCTAATTAAGATGTTTTATCAAGTAAATCACTGCTTTATTATTATGAATGCATAAAATTGTCCCAAAAAAGGGCACAAACCCTTCAGTAGTAATTGAGATAACAGCTTACAAGCAAAACTTTACCATGAATTTCTAAGTTGAAAAAGGGGAGAAAAATCAGCCTAAATGCAAGATAGAATTATGGATCTTTGTCAGTGACCTACAATTATGACCCTAAATGCATATGTGAAGCTTTAAATAAATATCTTTAATAGTTATTGAGATATGTAAAACTTGCATGTAAACATTAACCAAGAGACTAAGACTTTGTAGAAAAGGGGATATGAATCAGCCTTAATGCAAGATAGAGTTATGGAACTTGGTCAGTGACATACAATTATGACCCTCCAATTATGACCCTAAGTGCATGTGTAAAGTTTCAAGTAAATATCTTTGAAGACCTTTAACCTTTAACCAAAATTTCTAAGTTTCAAAGGGGCAAATAATTCTTCAAATTTTGCAGGCAGAGTTATGCAATTTTGCAAACTGATGTACATTGTTACTATAAAAAAGTATTTTAAATTTCGTTTGAATATCTCAAGCAATAATTGAGATATTTAACTTTACAAAAAAACTTTAACCAAAATTTCTAAGTTCCAAAGGGGCATAATTCTGTCAATATTGTAGGCAGAGTTATCCAACTTGTCAATCTGATGTACCTTGTTATTATAAATAAGTATTGTAAGTTTCAATTGAATATCTCAAGCAATAATTGAGATATTTGACTTTACAAAAAACTTTAACCAAAATTTCTAAGTTAAAAAGGGGCATTATTCTGTCAATATTGTAGGCAGAGTTATCTAACTTGTCAATCTGATGTACCTTGTTACTATACATAAGTATTGTAAGTTTCAATTGAATATCTCAAGTAATTATTGAGATATTTGACTTTACAAAAAACTTTAACCAAAATTTCTAAGTTAAAAAGGGGCATAATTCTGTCAATATTGTAGGCAGAGTTATCCAACTTGTCGATATGATGTACCTTGTTACTATAAATAAGTATTGTAAGTTTCAATTGAATATCTCAAGTAATGATTGAGATATTTGACTTTACAAAAAACTTTAACCAACGCAGACGCCGACGCCGGGGCGACTACAATAGCTCTCATATTCTTCGAATAGTCGAGCTAAAAATGCTTCAATACTGATCAAACTGTTAGCTAGACCATAGCCTGTGGAATAGCATGCTCAATTTTAAATTTCCAGTTACCATGGCAACGGGGGGGGGGGCGTCTCAAAATTGCCAAAAATCTCGATTTTGCGTTGTTTTTTCCCATCAAAACTGATTTCAAGGTGCACCAACTTCTCAATTGATTGAGATAAAGTCTAAGGTTTTCGGCGTTGATTA